GGACACAACATCTTTGTTGGTATGTGGTGCTGAGGATCGAACCCGGGCCGCACGCATGCCAGGCAAGCGCGCTACCGCTTGAGCCACATCCCCAGCCCCTTAAAAGAGTTCTTAATGAGTTTGTATATGCTGAAAAAAATTAGTGCTTATAAATGTGGACCATGGACTAGGAATGCTGGATAATAGGTAAATCAAGGACAAATAGAATTAAGTATCAGTATGTACTAAATGCTAATCTCTGGCACTTTCCCCCAGATTGTTCACAGTTGGAGACCAGAAAGAAAGCAACTATAAACTAGTCTTGGTTATTAATGACTGTTTAGAGGAGAAGGTACTCTTTCTGTGAAGGTTGGGGAATGGATGGGCCAGAGCAAGATGTACTGAGAAGTTCCTGAGATGAGTACTGAAAGATAAATAAGAATTTGTACAGTGGATAGGAAGGGCATTTCAGGCACAGGCATTAAGACTGAGAGAATAGTACATCTGTTCTCAACTTAGGAAGCCATGAAATAATGACAAGAAGTAAAATTAGGATGGTAGCTTTAGGTTTCCTCAAAAGGACCTCCTTCTAAATTAGAAGGTTTGAAGCCTGATTCATGGCTTTAAGCCATTGAAAGGCTTACATGATGAAGATAAGATTGACATGTATTCAGAAGGGGAGAAAGGTGCAAGTATGGGTAAATGGGGGAACAGGCAATATTCAGAGATAATTAACTATATGTGAGATTGATTGAGGTACCTATTGAACTTCCAAGTGAAAATATTTTTCTTAGCCTAAGTCTGTTTCATTTTCTGTTATACAGGAGTTTAAATAACTACATGCAAGATTATCTTAAAAATGAAAAATGTAATACATGTAGAATCTGGTATAGAGGCTTGCTTTTTTAAATTTTTAAAAATTTTTTTGTAGTTGTAGATGGACAGAATTCCTTTATTTTATTTTTTTATTTTTATGTGGTGCTGAGGATAGAAACCAGTGCCTAACACACTCTAGGCAAGTGCTCTGCCACTGAGCTACAGCCCCAGGAATGCTGGATAATAGGTAAATCAAGGCTTGCTTTTAAGGAGGTAAGAAAGGATAATTTCTAAAGGAGATTAAGTAGTACTAGGGGGGAACAAGGAGCACTAGCAAATAGTGGTCAACAACAAGTCTCCATACTTAAAAGTCAAAGAAGACTAAAAAGTTTTAAATTTTGAATTGAGATTACTGGTAATTTTAGCATGAGTAGTTTCAGTGGATCGTGGGCTCAAAAGTGAGATTGCATTGAATTGGGGAAGTTTTTACTAGTCTTAGGTAGATTGATTAATTATTCTTTTAAAAAAGCTTGATTTTGAATGATTCTGGATATTTTTGTTTTTGGTTTTTGTTTTAAATGTATTTTTCACCATGAAACTGGTAGATATATGTATAATTTTGAAAGTTTGTCTGAGCTTTCTGTAGGTACTTCATCCAGATTTGATAGTAATTTATTATCTTTTAAATTAAAATTTGATAATAAGTTGGTATTTTGATGAAATAATTGATTAAGGAAGACCAGCTTATGAGAGTTGAGAGTTGGAACAGAAGTGCAAAATTTAGATATGGTTATGGAGTTCAAACATTCATTAAAACAGATCTCTGTACCTATCACTCAGCTTTAACAGTTAAGATTTTGGCAATCTCTTTTATCTATTTATTTCCTTCTTCCCTGCCTTTATTTCCCTTGGACTTTAAAAAATAATTATTGGAACTCTGATCATTCCACCCATACATCCAGAATATATCTCACAATTTATTTTAAATTAAATAGTTTAACTTCATATTATCATCACTCATGACAAAATTAACAGTATGTGAGAATTCATCAGATTCCCAAAGGGGCTCAAGATACAGCAGAGGTGAAGTCTTGCAACAAATACTGTGCATTTGGGGGGCATCAGCTTCTCACTCTAGCAAACTCTTTGATTTTTCCCCTATTTGTTAATTGTAGTAAGCATCCTTAGGTTAAGATTCTTTGGGCTGGAGATATAATTCAATGGTACTATGCTTGCTTAGCATGCAGGGCAGGGAATTCCTTAGAATTCAAGCTATTTGTAGCCTTTACTATATCTTACCCTTTGCTGTACAATATTTTATCTTCATAATATCTTGAAGCCTCACTTTTTTTTCTCTCTTGTTTGGAAAAAAAACAACTTATTCTTTTTGGATACAGAAATGATAAGTAGTAAGATGATTCTGCTCTGTAATTGATGGGTGACTTAGATGAAAATTCTTTTGTAACAGTTGAGAGATTATTTTCCAATACAACCTAGAGATATGATTTTTAGGTTAATTTATCATTCCTTCTCCTAACAGATTTCTCAAGAGATTTTTGTTCCCCAAATCAAAATAAATACTATGTTAAACTCTGCTGATACTTTTTACTTCATAAGCTCTTTTTTTTTTCACTTCTAGATTTTCTTTTTCAAAGTTTTTCTAATGTGTTTCAGAAGAGATGATTTTATAGGAAGCAGATTCCAGAGGCACTGTTAAGCTGTTTAGTTAATAAGTAATATTATATTTTGAAATATAGATTATAGGAACTTGCAAAGACAGGAATTAGAATGCCTGTGTACCCTCAACCTCCTTTCCCCCAGTGTTTATGTCCCACAAAACTAGAACATTATCAAAACTAGGAATTTGACATTGATACAACTTGTGTACATAGTTAGGCATTTTTTCACATGTATATTTATGTAACCATCACTGTAAAATACAGAATTATTCCATCACCACATATATCCCCCTGGTGCTGCCCCTTAATAATCATTTATCCTCCCCCATCCTTAACCTGTAGAAACCACTGATTTGTTCTCTTAAATGGATTTCTAGTATGTCCTTTGTCTTTTCACTCAGCATAGTGACCCTAAATCTATCTAAGTTGTTGCACGTACAGTAGTTCATTCTGAATATCTTTTTAGAATAAAAATAAGTGTTCTGCTAGGTGCAGTGGCACATGCCTGTAATCCCAGTGGCTCTGGAGACTGAGGCAGGAGGATTGTGAGTTAAAAGCCAGTCACAGCAACTTAGTAGGCACTAAACAACTCTGTGTCTAAATAAAATACAAAATAAGGCTGGGATGTGGCTCAGTGGTCAAGTGCCCCGAGTTCAGTCTCCGGTACCATAAATAAATAAATAAAAAAAATAAATAAATGTTCTGTTAACTCACTATATTAAAATTAGATCCACCCCAAACTGCACCTAACTTCAAGTCTAAAAAGGCCTATGCTTTTTTGTTGTGTGTGTTTATATTATAAAATTGCCATGAATATGTAATTAGTTTTCTTAAAGTTTGCATTAAACATGAAAAAGACTTCAGACATCAAGGGTGCAAAGCTTAGAAATGATGTAAGACTAGTGTTTGTTAAGTTGTTTTATAATGTTTTTTTCATTTAAGTAGGCAAAATTTGTGTCAACCATTTTTTATAACTTTCTTTGAAATAATTTGAAATTTTCAGGCATAGTACAGGGATCTCATCTATACTACATTCATCAACTTCTAGTATTTTGACACATTATCATTATTTACTGCTTCCATCTGGGTACCAGTTTGCAGGGGGAAAATGTATTTTTCCTGAATTATTTGAGCTTAAATTATATATATCATGGCCCTTTACCTTTTCAATATATCAGTACATAATCGTACAGAGCAAGGCTATTCTCTTACACAACCTCAATAGTTAATAAATAAATTCAGGAACCTTAACATTACTGAGATATTTTTAGCTAATGTTGTTCATGTTCAGTTTTTTTTAAATTTATTTTTTAGTTTTAATATGATGCTGAGGATCAAACCCAGTACCTCATGCATGCTAGGCAAGCACTCTACCACTGAGCCATAACTCCAGCCCTTCAATTTTATCATTATGTCTTTTTTAGAATTTCCTTCTTTTCTATACAGAATTCAGTTCAAGGATGGATATTAGTTGTCATTTCTTTTTAATTTTCTCTAATCTGTAGCAGTTCATCCTTTGTCTTTTATGACATTAACATTTTTTGAGAATTTAGGCCAATTATTTTATAGAATGTTCCTTGTATTCCCCCTTGATTATCTTCAGATTCTGTAACTCCCAACTGTAGTGATGTTCTGTCTTTTAGGGAATTATATCTAAAGGCACACAGTGTCCATCAGTATCTCATTAGTTATGTTAATTTTAATGGATCACTCATTCAAGTGTTTCATTTCTCCATTATGTAGTTAGCTATTTTTCTCATTATAAGTTACAGACAGTCTCTGGGCAGACCCTTTGAGGTCATACAAATATGCTGCTTCATTAAACTTGCACCCCAGATTTAGGGGTGGTTTTTTTAATGATTCTTACCCAAACCAATTTTTTTATTTTGAGGATTCAAAGTGGGTGAGGGTCATTCTTTCCAAATTGCTTGTTCTAATGATTCAACTTGATTTTGCAAACATTTATTTACTTGTTTATATAAAGTTTTTATTTTACATATTACATAATATAATTGGCAATGCATTTTAACTTAAAATGTTTTTAAACCTCTGGGTTTATTTTTAATCCTTTGCTGCCCTCTGCAGGTCTATGAATATAGATCTTTGGAGCAAGGTAAGTATGCCTAATCATTCAAATCACAAGGTGATATATATAAATAGCCAGTAAGAGCAAAAATTTTAATAGCTCCACACATTTCTGTTATACTGTTAAAATTAATGGATTTAAAATCTTGAAAATGTTAGTTTTAAAACAGCAGGAAGCTTTTTATGGAAGTAGTCTTTGACTTAGTCCTAAGAGTCCTTAAGATTTTCAACCTTTGCAAAAGTATTTGACCTTATAGGTTTAATAATTAATTTTCTTTCTGTATGTAAGTATGTATATTTGTGTATGTTTCTGTATACGAATGGTATGCAAACCAACATCAGCCTTTTTAAGAAATTAACTGATTTTATGCAGGAAGCATAATTATAGTGAATTGCATAAAAGATTTTCAGCTTAATAAAATCAGAAGGCATGTTATTAATTGAAATTCCCAATTCTATTTCTGGTATTACTTGAATTGCCAAATTAGAAATGATACTGTTTTGACTAGAGATATTTTCATTGGTGTATTTATTAAGTGTGTTTTTGTTCAAATTGGCATTAAATGTTACTGTAAGTATGGCAAAAGTTTCTGGTAGAATTTATTATTTTCTGTGTGTGTGTGTTGATTAAAGGACAGTTGGTAGGTGAAGATTATTTTGTTTTTCTTTTGCACAATTCTTATTCCTACATTAACTATCTTTTGAATTAACTATAGCATGGTTTGTATAGAGGCATGTGATCATTTTGCCTGATTTTTTCAGATTAATAAGTAAACAATAGTAGAAGTACAGTTTGGGCCTGTAAACGCTTAAAATACATGTGCTTTAATAGCACATAAGCTCAGCTGTTGAATATGCATAAAATACATTAGAATTCTTCACACATGTCATTTGGACAACTAGTATATAGTTCTTTTCTGTCTTCAGCCTCAGGATATATAGTTAAATACCCTTTTCAAAGTTATAAGTTGGCATCATAGATTGTATAATAATTTTGATTATAAAATATGTTATTTGGAATTTTGAAATTAGAAATTTCTTTTGGTTGGTAGATTTAATGTTGAAAAATAAGTGTGTATGTCTTTTAGTATATGTGAATTAATTGATAAGAATACTTAGGAACAAACAAGTTAAAACTTTTGACCTCTTTTGTTTTAGTGCCATTAAAATGAATGAGAAAATGTCATGGAACAACTAAAAATTTAAGTTAGTTACTGGTCCAGCATATGTTACTTTTTATTTCTATAAAACTTAAAAGGAGGACACTAATCCCAGTTAGTGTCCTCATCAAAATCAAAATGATGAGAATATTGGTTCATAATTCCTATAAATTACTGTTTATAACAATTTAAAATGATATATAGACATCACTTTATAGCCTCTCCTTGTGACATTTCATAAAACATTGCTGCTTTCCTTCATCATGGGTTTATTTTTATTTTTAGAAGACAAACCTATTATTTAAAAACAAAACAATCTCTTTGGTGGGTGGGGGTAGTGTTGGATTACTACAATATAGAATAATACCTTACTGGGGAGAGGTTGTATTATTTCAAGAATTCAATTTCAAATTGTATTTGTTCTTGTTTGCGTCTCTTGCTGCAATGCACGAATTTTCTGTCTTACCAGATAACAGAATTGTTGTACAAGGATGGACGTTATTGCCAGGAGCCTCCAGGACCAACGGGTAGCGTTTCAATTTTGATGATTGTAACTTATCCACAAATTCATTCTTCTGTGTAATAATGGACTAGAAGGATTATAGCAGGGAACACTTTTTTTTTTTGCAAAGTGAAATTTGAAAACATTTGGTTACACATCTTTATATTGATAACCACAGCATTTTGAGATCTGTGAGGTGTTTGGTTTTATAATAATTAATTTTAGAAGGCAGGCTTGGGATACTTTCTTTTCATGCAACAAGGAAATGCTTCTTACAGTGTCTGTGGCATAAGCTTAAAAAAATCAGAGATTCTTAATACTTATGTGACTTTAATGTTTTGCAGGTATGGCTAATTTTAAACAAAGTAGGAAAAAGGTCTTGTGGATTTTTTCCACTTAAATATAATTTATTATATAAAAGATTATTTTGTCATTTAATGATTTTCATTTGCCATTTAAGGAAAGCTTATAATATATACTTTTCTATAAGAAGTTACCTTTCTTAAAAGTTCAAATCTCCTATCCCAGGCATTAGCACATGGCCCTGTACATTTTATGCTTGAATGCATAGGAAAATTACTGTTGTTACAAAACATCTTTGTTAATCTTGGTTTTTCATTGGCTAATAGGCAGCTCTCCACAGGATTACTATATCTGCTTATTAAAATTATTTAACTTTCTATACTCAACATGTATAATCCTTTGTAATTTTATGTGTTTCCCTAAATATTATCCACAAAAAATTAGTGTAGAAAAGTGTAAAGACATTTATTTATTTTTACTACTTGTGATTTGGACAAGAGAGGGGTAAGGCCTTGGGCAGGACCACTTCTGTCACAGAATAGTGGAAAAAAATAGATTGAAGTAAGATTCAGTACTGAAAAGCTGTCACTCGGTCTGAAAATAATTAATATTCCTTTCACTCACCAGTTAGATATGTGCTCCCAAACCACATAATCTCTATGCCTCAGTGATCATTGTTGCCATTTCAGAGCCTCTCATCAGGGTGACATCTCACACCAAAATGATTTCTTATAAATTAATCTTGATAACATGACAGTCTCGGTAATTTTAGTGGAATGCTTTCTCTTGTTTTTTTCCACAGAAGCTGTTGGCTATTTTCTTTATAACTTGATTGACAGCATGAGTGACTCAGAGGTACAGGCCAAGGAGGAGCGTTTGAGACAATACTTCCATCAGCTGAAGGAGATGGTACCATTTCATTTTTTGCTATATAATGCCTGTCCTGCCTGACATGTATCTATTAGATTTGAAATTGCTGCTTTTAAGTGCAACCAGACCACTTCTCAATGACATGCAAGAGTTGGAGACTTAAATTATGTCTGAGATAATTTCTGTTAGACAAATTTCAGTTTAGTTGTCTAAAACTCAGGTTTCCCCCCCCCCTCCCTTTCCTTTGCACAGAATATAAAAATTCCTGAAAGTATCTACAGAGGCATTCGAAATCTACTGGATAGCTACCATGTTCCTGAATTGATTAAGGTGTGTGAAATGCTTAATTTATATATAAAAACCTGTTAAATTTTTTAAAAAATACGATGCTTTTGACAAAAAAGAAAAGTTTCATTGGCAGTCATTAAAACAAAGCTTTTTCATTGTTGGTAAAAACTATTTATATATTGAAGAATACATTTAAAACCTTAATTGTAATGGTCAGTATAGTATGATCAGAATTGCTGTAAAATGTTGGAAAGGTAGACAGATAGCATTAAAATGAAGTGGGACTTTCAGATTTTTCTTTGGACATTTGCTATTTTAATTTTACTTGTGTCTTCTAATTTTGTGCTAACTTAAATCCCGATATAGGATGTTAATATGATGGTTGAAAGAAAGAAGATAGACTCTCGTAAAGTAAGTAGGTTTTTGAGCGGGTTCTACATGTTATAATAACTGCATTTAACAAGCATTCTAGACTGCGCCCTTATAAAACCAATGTTTCTTAATATTTTCATCATTTTGTATATGTGTAAGAATTTGGCAAAACCTATTTGTCCTCTCTGAAAAATCAACAGACCTAGGAAATTTGCAAATAGTCTTACAAGATTCATTACCCCTAGAGTCCATCCATTGATCCCCAGGTAAATATCACTATGAGCATTTATAACATAAAGGAAAGTTAATTTAAAGGGTAGGGTGACAAGGGTCAAGTTTTCTTTTTGTAGTAAATTTTTCTTCCTTCTTTTTTTTTTTTTCCCTGTAGTCTCAGCAACTTACACCATCTGATTTGGAGTCTACACTTGAAAATCTAAAAGCTAAAAATCAACCTATAGGAGATGTCCTAAAGCAACTGATATTAATGCTTTGTTCAGAAGAGGTAACATTTGTTTAAACATTTCAAATATGCTATTAGGGTAAAAAAAATTATTGTTCATAATAAGCAAAACTGAACATAATATTTATGATTTTTACAATTGATTATTATATGTCATGCTTGTGAACAATGCAATTAAATGAAAGGTTAACTAATTTCAGCTACACCTTGAATGGCATGTTTTCAGGTTGCTGTAGTTTGTTTACAATAATCTACAAAGTGAATGATAGTAACAGCCGTGATAGGTTTATCATACATGCCAAATGTCCTTTCAAGCCATGGCTCCGGTCTCTTATATCTAGATTGTCAAGCAACTGATACATGCAGTAGTCATTTGCAAGTCAAATATTACTAGGTTGTTAATGCAGGGATTGAAATTCCATTTTCCTGCTGGAAAAAAGCTCTCTCCGAGATAAAGGGTCTCTTGCCTTTTTTTCAGTGGGCGTCCAGCTGTACTTCGTGTTCGTTTTAGTGTGTGTCTGCAATTTGAGGAATATCACTAGACTTTTTTCAGGTTCTAGTTTAGCAAGCCTATAGTTTTAGAAAAAAATATCATAACTGAGATTATAACATGGTACTGTTATTTCTTTGGTACTAAACTAGAGTGAGAAACTTTATTGGTACATATTTCTGCATCTAGAAATTGGACTATGATTAGGGGCTGATTTAGGAAGTATTTAATCTGGAAGTCTTCTCTAAATAGTACAGTACAAAAGCTAAAACATCAAATTTGGCATTAATAGTGGGCTATTTTACAATAAAAAATCCAAATTTACATTTGTTAGAATTACCCTACATATACATCTGGCCTGCCTGCCTTTTAAAAGGTGAATAAAAATACCAAGGGGGCAGGGCCAAGTTGATAACATGAAACAGTTTTTATTTATTTTTTGAAATCCTATTTTTTTTAAATTTTATTAGTTGCTCAAGACAATACAATGATCTTGACATATCATACATTTGATTCAAATAGGGTATGAATTCTCACTTTTCTACATGTACAGATTGTAGAATTACATTGGTTATACATCCATGTGTATACATACAGTAATCCTAGTGTCATTTGTATTCTGCTGTCCTCCTTATTCCCCCCAAAACAGTTTATTTTTAAAGTACTGTAAACTTTTTCTAAATACTGTAACTAAAAATGTGACATTTTAATTTTATATTAATTTCTTCTTTTTTTTTAACTTCAATTCTTTATTTTAGAATATGCAAAAAGCCCTTGAATTGAAAGCAAAATATGAATCAGACATGGCTGTTGGTGGCTATGCAGCTTTAATAAATTTGTGCTGTAGACATGATAATGCAGAAGATGCACTGAACTTGAAGCAAGAATTGTGAGTACCCTGGCAATGAAACAACTCATCAGCGTTTATGCTGATATACCACCCTTGATGAGTCACCTAGATTGAATATTACTGCCTTAAGTAATATTCAATGCTTTTGTTGTCAATATTTTTGAAATTTCATAGCATAAGGCTCTTGTTTCAGCAAGGTGTCTTAAGTACAACAATAAAACAGCCTAGTCTTTAAAGCCAAGGTTTTTTCCCATTGGTTATACTATTGGTGATAGTAACTGTTTTGTGAGGCTTGATAACATTTCCCTTTCTATACTGCACTATAAACAAAATTCTGTCCATTTCTCAAGGATATTTTTTAATCCCCATCCTGATAGATTTAGCAAATAAAAATTTGTCATTTGAAGTATTTCAGTATTCACAGTGAAGGTTAGAATTATGGAAAGTACCATAAAGCAAAAGTGTCTTCAGTAGTATCATTTGCAGGTGGAGTGATGCTATATGTATGTGTAGTGTTACGATTTTTACTTCTGAAGTCACTGACTATAATTTACATATTAATTGATATATGGCTTAAAAAATAAATCCTAACTGAAGTATAGGCACCAATATTAATAAGAATTTAGACCTGATGGGCTTTTGGAAGTTATAGGAATTTCAGTCCTTTTTGTCATTAGTTGTCTTCTAACATAATATAACTGGTTTTATTTCATAGTGACCGTTTAGATCCATCTGCTGTCCTTGACACCAACAAGTATGTAGGCCTCGTAAAAGTATTGGGAAAGCATGGCAAGCTCCAAGGTAAGTCTCCCCACATAAAGGAAAGATGGGATGCAAGTATTTGCCTGTGGCATAACATGTGAATTGATATTAATGGTATATCATGTCCTGCAAAGTGCTGGAACACTTTGCATACAAATTTGCATGTGAATCCAACCAGAGCCACATGGACAGTGTAGGCCATTAGTTTTAATGGATTGGCAAGCTTGTCATTTACATTTGCACAGCTCAGTGCTTTTTGCATTTCTGCAGCTAGTTTTTATTAGCATTGCTATTTGGATTGAGTTTGAAGATCATGACTTATGGCACAATTTGCTTATATGCCTGCACTAATGGCTTTGTTTTTGCTTAAGAAGATCTGAAGGCTGAACATAAAACCTATAAACATAATATGATATATAAAAAACTGAATTTTGCACTTGTTTTTAGCTGAACTTTTAATCATATTAGCAAAATGTTTATTTCAGTTGAAGTTTCTATTTAGAATTTCATGAGAAAGGTGTAGCTAATTATATTGTTGATTTGCATACTCCTAATTTTCTCATTGTTGAGGTAATGCTAAATCTAATATAATTAAATGACACTTGGTAATATGTTCTTAGTATTTACTTGTTTCTTTCTGAATTTGACTCTATTTTGAAACTTCTTTTTTAGCCTTCCTCACTTCCTTTTATTTTTAGAAATGATTGTTTTGATTTTGTCATAGGAAACAGTGTACGGAGAAAATATGATTTGAACATTGAAATTTTTCCTGGGAAGCCTTTCTCATACAGAAAACTCTTTATAAAGATTAGCCTGCTTTTTTGAAATCACTTTTTGTAAAGTGGTCAAAACATTTTGTCTGTGTAATAATTAAGAACAACGTTATGAAAATGCACTTATTCCATATCCTAAAATGTTTGTTTCTGCCTTTCTAATGAAGCTTAATGAATCTAATGTATTAACATGCAGTCTTTTGGAAAGCTTTCATTGGCTCTGCTTGGCTAATTAGTATCGACATAGCAAACAGGCCCTATCGGTATCAGACCATTAGTCTGGCTGTATATACAGTGTAAACACATCTTTATTATCTGGCCTCCTGACAAGCCATCTGCTGAAGAAACAATGGTGTGATTTAGCAGATGTTAGCTCTGAACGATAAAAGCATCCATTTAGGAGGATCTTACAGCTATAGGGCAGACTGTACAGGGTTATGTGGTGCCGAGTGGGCACACAGTCCCTATCTATAATTTGTAGTCAAAGTTGCAGGGAAATGATAAAACCATGCTATTGTGGATTTATAATTGTAGTCTCGTTTAGAAATGCAAGTAGTAATTAACTTGAAATCGGCATTATACACTAGAATTTACATTCCTGCTGGGCTTGAAATGCTGTTTTAATAGCAGTTTGTTTTCCCTACATGAAATTACCTAAGGGTCTTTTGTGTTACTTCATTGTAGATGCTATTAACATTCTAAAGGAGATGAAAGAGAAGGATGTTCTTATCAAAGATGCAACAGTCTTGTCCTTTTTCCACATCCTAAATGGTGCTGCTTTAAGAGGTGAAATTGAAACAGTAAAACAGCTGCATGAAGCCATCGTCACTCTAGGGTTAGCAAAACCATCTACCAACATAAGTTTCCCATTGGTCACTGTACACCTGGAAAAGTAAGTTAATTGAATTTTGAATTTTAATGCTGGCATTAAAAGAATGAATCTAATCATTTTGGGATTATACTTTGTAAGTACGTTGATGTGGAAGCCTGTGGGTCATTTGCCAAAGAATAAGGGTACTAAGATGGTTTAGGTGATCTTTAAAATCAGCAGCAGCCCTGTGGCTCTGTGGCTTCTCAATGAAGTGGTATCTGGTATTTTTTTTCTCTAGGAACATGTGATAATATTACATGAAATTGAATCAAATTTTTGAGTCTAATAAATACTGATTATCAATAGATATAAGAAAGAAAGGTCCTCTGAGGTTTTTAATCATGTATCATAACTCTCCTTCAGGTAATAAACATAGAAATACCTATGCAGTACTCCTGGTCTCCATATAGTATTTTAATCACATACAGTTATTCTAGTTTTGATAAATGTTGGAGATGTTTCTGCCTTGTGGGAAGATGAATTTTGTTGATAGGGAAAGATTTACTGAGTTTGAAAATTTTACATTTGAAATATTCTTGTTTGTACCCAGTTTAAAATATTATCTTCAATGCAAATCGTAAAATCAATTCTACTCTTTTATAATGAGTGAAACATTTTAATAAGATGCTTAAGCATAGCTCATTACCTTCTTTTACTTTTGCTTTTTAATTTCTTAAATCTTACCTCTTTGTCATCTTTTGCATGGCTTACTGCAGTTTGTAATCTGCTTATTCTGTGATTAGGATTTTCTGATTTTAGTATGGATGATGTCTTATCAATGCCAGGAAAAAAATGAAATTTATATTTTAACATTTCTCATCTTCCCCCAAAATATCTGGTAGTTTTTATTTATTTAATATGGGGTATAATTAACTGGATGTGATGAATAATTTGGTATTGAATTTTAAATAAAGAATAAAAAATTGTTTTAAATAGCTCGTTAGGAAATGTGAATATTGATAAGCTTGAACCCATGCATGTGAACACACATCCAAACTAATTCTTTTGCCAGCCAGTCATAAACAGTTATCAAGTTGGGTGATTGGCCAAATCTTAACTTCCACAATCTCAGCATTACATTCTTTTAAAGAAATAGTGATTCAAACAATTACTGCATTATTGAGTTCTCATATTCACAGCCAACTTTATATAGAAATCCTATAATTAATATGCTTCCTACTGGAATTTTTTTCAATTGTTTAAAAGACCCATCTCTGCAAATTGCGTGTGGAACTCTGCACAGGGATTTGAAAGAAATGGGCCCAGTGCCCAGAAGAATTAGGCCCTCCTACACTACTGGGTAAAAAATATAATAATTAACAAAGAAAACGAGTCCATGGTAGAAAAGTATCTTACAAATAGAAATACTTTGAAGACAGTAGAGATGTGAAAGTTTTCCAAAAGAGGTCTGCAGATGGGGCTCATGAACCAAGGAGAGCTTACCCAAGGGAAAATGAAAACAGCATAGAATTCAGATGGTAACCTGGAGCATGCTCTGTGCTTCTGATCATTTAGAACAGTTAGGTGTTTGTATGTCTCAGTCAAATTTGGCTGTCTTTGTTAATTGGACCAACAATCTAAATTTGTATCTTTTCCTTCATGGTGTCTTAATACTTTCAGAAACTTGTAGAAATTATTATCTTCTATTTTTATTTACACTGAGTTTTTACTTTTTTCTTTTGCTATCTTTACTTTGTAGAAGCAGTCTCCCCGACATGTTCTTTCAGTTTCATCTATCATAATAAAAAGATTATGTCAGCTGTTTTAGAGTCATGAGAATAAAAAGGATATAAAGGAAATTTAATATTTATAAAATTTCAGAAAGGAGTAGTAGCACTATTGTCAGGGAAAATGCTAGAATGAAACACTGACTTTGAAACTTTTGTTCAATTCTGTTTTGTCTAACTGATGGAAGATAGCTAATTAATTCAGAATCATGACAAGTACTAGGATTAACTACACCAACCTACAAAAAAGGCCCCATGTATTTGATTTGATTAAATATGTTCAGTCTTTAGTAATACCATGTAATTGACCCCAGCAGGTATGAGCTCATCTGGGTAGTGAGCCTTATTTATTCAAACTTGTGATAAAATTATGAAAAACATTTCAGAATATCATTTAAAAACCTTCATTATTTCATTCAAAAGCATCTTTTTGGCATGTCATTGCGAAAGACTCTAAAGAGGATATTAGTTTCATATTATAATTCTGAAGGAAATCTGTGAGATTTGAGTTCCTTAGATAATAATTCAGACTCCGTGGATCTTAATTTTGAACCAACTTCCAACACTGGGTATAGCAGAGAGGAAATGATACCATATCAGTTTGTGTCCTTGGATAATGCTTTGTGGGCTTGGAAATAATGCATTTTGTTTTTATGCATTTGGCAAGGGAAATCTAAAACAATAACACATTTATAACATGGTAGAAAAGTTTGTAACTGGCTTTATTACGTTTGTATTAAACAGAAAAGAAATTGTTTAAACAAATTTTTGTGTGCTTCTATTATATTACACTACAATCTGTAGACCATTATCTATATGTAGTCCAAATGAATATGATTTTAAAATTTTCTTTTGTAACTATTTTATTTTAAAATTTATTTCTTTTATTAAAATCATGCCTGATTCAGGGAGATGACAGGGATCCTCCATATGCAGTAAAAAGAAATGCTTTATAATAGGTTAAAAGAGCTTTTGATTAGTCTTCATGTTATGGTAAAGGAAAAACAATTAATAAAATCTGGTCCATTAAATTTTTAAGCAGAGAAATTTGTATGATGCAGTTTCAGATTCACTTGTTTTATAGCTAATCCATTTTGGTTTCATTGAATATGAAAAATATCTGAAGTTGTTTAACTGGATTATATTAGCGAAGATGATCAAAGCACCTTTAATTTCTGCTTTCCATTAAGGACTTTTTTGTGTATGTGCTGATTTGTGCTATAGTCTACATCTGCACATATGCATTTAATTTAAGTGCATCATGGATTTTGTATACCTAATCCTTCCAGACCTCTTGGCGAATTAATCTTGAGTTTTTCATAAATGTCACAATTTTCACTAAAATGAACCTGTAACAATATAAGTTTCGAAAGTCATTGTAACACTTTGATATGTTACATAAATGGGAAATGCACTTTTTAAAATGCTAGTTATTCTGTCATACACACTCCCCTTCAATTTTAGTATCTTCATTTGTACTGGATACTTTTATTATTTATGGGAATGCTTGTCTTCTAGAGTAAAACTCTTTATGTGCTGAAAGGAAATTAAGGAGGTTTGACTCTTTTACTCCATTATTGCAATTAAGAATTTAGCATCATCAGTGCCAAAGGACAAAAAGTGTTTCATTTGCCCTAGGGGGACAGGACAGTGATAAGATGATTTTTCGTCAAGGATCATTGGGTCGTAATTAAGTTACATTCATGGCTATTGCTTTTTGAAGGATGATTGGTAAATGACAGGCTTCATGTGCTTAGTACGGACAGTGTGCAGTGGGGTTTTTTCTCCCTCTGTCAGAAAATCCTGTTGAGCCTGATAATGTAAATGTGGCATTTTATTCTGAACAAAAGAGCAGGGAAATGAGCTATCTTGTCTAATCATTCAGTTGTTTAACACCGACTTCTAGTTTAGACTCAATTGGCTGGAAAGCACTTGACATGTGAAGTTAGTGCTGTTCGGAACGCATGTTTGAGTAAATTTTAAAGTAAGTGACAGCTAAATTGTACCTAGGGAAATTACAAAGCCTTCAACACAGTTAATTTTTTGGGGAGGATTAGTTGTAATTGCAACACCAGTCTCCTTGAAGATTCCTCATTTATAGATGATGAACAGAAAAAACATTTAGCTATTTAAGGACAGATTCTCTTAACAGAATAATTTTTATGAAGATGATGGTTTCTCTTGAGTTGATTTCTCCCCATATTAAAATCTGCTGAAGATTTATAGAATAGTTTGTTTTTAGGATGATGAGTTTGTTTTTCATTTCTTCTTAAAAACTTTCCCACCCCCGGCTCCACTTTTCTCTATTGATTTCAGATTTGAGAGCTTTTCAATCAGTAAGGCCTTTAGGTAAATTGCCACTTCGATAACACTTTATGTGTAATGTTGAAGCACTTTGTTCCAATTAAAAATAATATTCGTCATCTTTTTTTGTTTAAATTAAATATGTGCTCTGGATTGAAAAGTTACTTCCCATGTATAAGTAAAGAAACTAAGTTGAGAACTATCGATAGGTGAATAAAAAAACAGTTGTCACAGGTCATTCTGCTTTTAATAATTCAAGATAGTATAGAACACATGGATGATTTTACAGTTGTATCTATTAAAGAATTTATTTGAGTTAGAGGGCTTTTTTTTTTTGCTACCTTGAAGGAAATATTTATTATTTTTTATTTGTTCTAATTAGTTAAGCATGATCGTAGAATGCATTTGGATACATCATATATAAATGGAGTATAGCTTCTCATTTTTTTTTGATTATACATGATGTAGAATTTCACTCGTCATGTTGTTATATATACACATACAGTAATAATGTCAAATTCATTCTACTATCTTGAAGAAACTATTTTTATAATCATTAGATGCCTGCATCCTGCCTTGTATTTGCTTTTCTGTTGTTGATAATTATAGCATATTTTAATTTCATTTTAAAGACTAAAACAAGAAGTAATATTAGATTTGACATATAAACTTTGAACTTGCCTTTTGTATTTTCTTTTATGTAATAATGTAAAAATGTAGTTTTATATACAGTCATATGTTTTTAAATGAACAATTGTTCTAGAATGAATTTTGATATGATCCAAGTAAACCCATTCAAGATAATAAATGTAACTCTTTTTTTTTTTTAATAGAAACAGAATGTTTTTTAAATTTTTATTTATTATTTATTTTTATGTGGTGCTGAAGTTTGAATCCAGGGCATCACTCATGCTAGGCAAATGCTCTACCACTGAGCCACAACCTCAGCCCCATAATGTAACTCTCTTTTAAGTTTTCCAATTACTTAGTGGTCTGCCGCTTTCCCATAAATGTGTGTATTTTTAAAAAATTTAGAATTACAGAATTATCTTTTCCCCCAAGTTTGCCTTTATTTTAGGCTCCCAAAATTTTGACAAAGCTTACATTTTTAATTTGCATCAATAAAAATACTGCTTTTTTAAAGCCAGGTGTGGTGGTGTAGGCCTGTGGACAAAGGCTGTGGCAGGAGGATCATAAATTTGATGCCAGCCTGGACAACTTGGCAAGACCGTATCTCAAAATAAAATTGATAAAGGGGCTGTAGACATAGCTTAGTGGTAGAATGCTTACCTAATATGTGCAAGGCTCTGGGTTTAATCTCTAGTAATACAAATGCATACATATATATATACACATGAATAACTTTTTAAATGATTGGGTTTTTTGTTGTTTTTTAATATTTATTTTTTAGTTGTAGTTGAACACAATATCTTTATTTTTATGTGGTGCTGAGGATCGAGCCCAGGGCCTCACACGTACTAGGCGAGCGCCCTACCGCTGAGCCACAACCCCAGCCCCTAAATAATTGTTTTTTATTTGCATATATAGTTTTATTCATGAAAATTGTGTAGTTCATTGAAATTTGGGGGGGGTGGTATTTAAAAATGATATAGATTTTTATTTTAGAGATAGCAGTATGTTATAGAATTGATTTTCTTTTTGTATTCTTTGAGGTTTGTGAAAAACAGTGACTAAAATTTTTTTCAGGAATGGACTTTTAAAAACATGGATATAAAACTTAGAAATTATGTGTTTATATTGAAATATAAATTTTGAATGTAGAATTAATATATCGACAGGATATTTTCAAGGATTATTGTTATTTTTGAGAAGAATTTAAAATCATTTCTGTTATACAAAGTGTACAAAGAAAATCATAAATCACATTGAGTCGCAGAAGTTAGAAGTATATCGATTGGAAATGTGTTGTCCCACATTTTGGCGGAGAAGCAGTTTCTACATTTTCCTTTTGCTATGTTGCAACTCTTTATGATTTCATTCTGTCTTATTAAAGTTGTATTTTCACATGATTTTATCTGCTGATGTGAAACATGTGAATAGATGATCCTAATCAACACAGATCCACAAACCCTTGGGAGGGGAACCCAGCCATTTTTGTGATAACCTGTTTTTTATCACCACTTCTAGGAGTCTGAGCCATATGTAATACTTATGGGTTGAGATCCACATCCAAAGTCCTATGAATATACAACTCTGTTCATGGCGATGCTAATTTTAGATGCTTTTCACATTTTTTTAAAAATACTTTTTTTAGTTGTAAATGGACACAATATCTGTATTTATTTATTTTTACGTAGTGCTGAGGATCAAACCCAGTGCCTCACACATGTGAGGCAAGCACTTTATCACTGAACTGCAGCTCCAGCCCCGCTTTTTTCACATTTTTTATTTCCAGCACCGAGTTTTCAAGCTTTTATAGGCAAGGCAAATGATGACAAAGTATGGGAGAAATACACATTTTTATCTTTTTAAAGTGGCATGATCCACCCACAAGTCAGAATGCAGTTTAATGGAGACAGAAAAGAACCAATTAGTCATTTATTTCATTTCTGTCTTCAGTACACTTTGTATGAAGTGTCCACTATAGATGTCTAATTGATTTTATTGGCAATCCTAAGAGCAGTAACATTGGTACTTAAAATTACTAACAAATGTATGGATTATTTCCATTTTGCTATTTTTGTCTATTATTGTTCTGAGCATGTGTAATCTTCTGAAGGATATATTTGGAGACCAGAGACATTAACATGTCGCTTTGATTGACAGAACAATTACTCATTCATTTATTGATAGGTTTGACCTAATGTAGGGCAAATAAAAGTGAGACAATACCATTCTAGTTTGGGGATTGATCTGAAAAAGCAAATCTTGCCAGTTTAAAACAAAACAAACATCAATATGTATTAGTTGTACTCTTAAAAATGCTTTAGTAGTTTTCCACTCAGTGGAATTGTAGAAAGGCAATAACTGAACCTGTGTCTGAACAAGGGAAAATACTGATTATATAAAGCTTTATATCATATGTGGTAGCTACTATAGCATTTCTCTTGTATGACAGTAATCTAGCCTGCAGCATCTACTTTCAGTTTTGAAATTAACCTGTAATTTAGTCTTCACCCCAAATGACAAAAATTCAAATGACTCTGTGGGGTGCCAGAAGATGCACTGTAAACAGGGCTTAGGAAGGGGATAAGGTAGAGTTCCATCAGGATTGGCTCATTTTCACTGTGTCAGTATTATTGTACTGAAATTAACACTTCTTCATTCTATTTTACTTTTTTAGTACAGCTTAAAATCTTAATCTAGATAAAATAGTAATCTGATCTAGGGCAACGTAACATTTGCATAATGGACAGGCTATAATAGGAAATTTGAAAAGACTTTTGTGAAAACTGATGTGAATGTAAGAGAAATTTATATTCTCTACAAAGATACTGTTAATTTCATTAGTTATACTTTGTCTCTCTCTTTCTGACCGTGCTTCTTTTTAAATCTATTACATACTCTATTTTTTAAAAAAATCTTTAATTTCTTATACCAGATTGTAACACCTTAGTAGATTATGCAGACAGCAGTGCTTTTCATGTGCAATGAGATGCTTTGAAATGAAAGTAGAAGTCCAAAGACCTGCCACCAATACTTTCCTCTGTTTACTTAGTTGTTTTAGGCAAATAAGTCAACCTCTAAATGCCTTAGTTTCTTCATCTCTTTAAAAATAAAGAAGGTGGCAAGTAGAATTGGATTATATAATATCTATAGCTTGTCTAAGGTCTCACATATTTCTCAAGCTGCCATTTTTTTTTGAAAGGAAAAACGATACTTTTTAAGCACCCACAAAATATATTTCTACATTCTTGATAAGAAACTGACTGAAATGAAAATGACTTTCTTTTAATTTATTGCCATGTAAAACAAATACTTTGACTTTATAACTGGAAATAATTTTTTTTTTTGAGAGAGAGAGAGATTTTTTAATATTTATTTTTTAGTTTTCGGTGGACACAACATCTTTGTTTGTATGTGGTGCTGAGGATCGAACCCAGGCAGGCGCACTACCGCTTGAGCCACATCCCCAGCCCTGGAAATAATTTTTAAAAGTTTAATCTCTAAGGAAAAAATATTTAGAATTCTTCTAGAATTCACTGATTCACAAGTATATCCTAGTTTTAGCAATAAGTTCCTGTATACATGAATCTGAGGCTATTTCCTACTCATCTGGTAATAATATGGCAGTATGAAAAATATTATGGTAAAGTTGAAAAGTGCTTAAAAATTCCTTGGTACCTTTGGGCACTTAATAAAGTTTTCTAAATCTGCAGTTTATCAAAGGCCATAAAAGCCTTTAAGTAGTAGTTGAGAAAAATATTTGACAGTAGTCCTTGTTTTGAGAAATAATATATTCTTATGACAACTTATTACATATAGTCAAATTTTATTTACATTAAAATCAGAGACTGCCTTCCGTCTATTTTGACCTTTCTTTCTTCCTAAGTACCTTTAAGCATAATAATAAAAGGTAAAGCAAGGAAATAAATAATAAAAATAATAAAAGGTAAAGCAAGGAAAATAGTGTAGTTTACATTTTGATTGATCTCTGTGCATCTCTAAACTTATTGAGACTAAATAAATATGCCTTATTTATTTATTTTAATCCCCCCCCCCCAAGGGATGACTTGTATGCTGCTCTTCAAGCTACCATTGACTGCTATGAAAAGTATAAAATATTACCAAGGATTCATGATGTCTTATGTAAACTCATAGAGAAAGGCGAGACAGATCTAATCCAGAAAGGTAAGTTTCCTAAACATATTAGTGTAGTTGGATTTTTTTTTTCTTGCTTGCTTGCTTAATTTGAACGTGAAGAGAAAATTTTACAGAAGACAAGCACATTCAGAGATGCTTTGTGGCATTTCAGAATTGAAAAGAAATGTATCAGGTAGATTTTAAATATTGTAAATGTCCCTTGATTTTCGATAAATGTTTCTTTTAGAAAAATTATCCCCTATTATTTATTGTGCTTGACTTCTTGGCATTCTGCCTTTATGAAGATTTTTCTTTAACCTTATCCTCACCATTTCTCTTTGAAGTTAGTCTTAGGTACTTGATTTTATATATGAATACTTTTAGATAAGGTATATGACAGAAAATTGGTTGGTAAAGCTATGTTCTTGAAGTTATTCTTGATATTCTTTTTTTTTTTCCTAAGTTGTAGATGGACACAGTACTTTTATTTTATTTTTATGTGGTGTTGAGGATCAAACCCAGTGCCTTCCACATGAGAGGCAAGCAGTCTTCCACTGAGCTACAGCCCAGCCCTTATACTTGTTTTTAAGATAAAGGTTTTTAAAAATTTATCCAGATCTTCATATGATATTGTGTTTTAATTTTTTTCTTCTAATACATATTTTTTTCTTTCCTCCTATCTAGCAATGGACTTTGTGAGCCAAGAACAAGGTGAAATGACGATGCTCTATGATCTCTTCTTTGCTTTCCTACAAACAGGAAATTACAAAGAGGCCAAGAAGATCATTGAGGTGTGATTTTAACTACAGTATTCTAATTGTACAGCTATTTAGACTCTTAATTAGAATACATTTAAAATTTTTAACCTTTAATTACACTTGTTCTGATTCATGTTAATAGAATTCAGTGCCAATAATGGGGTGGGGGGGAATCGGCCAGCTTCCTTATTGTATATAATTACAGTTCAGAAAAGGCAGTCTGGTTGTATATTGAATTTGTTTCCTCACTTTGTTAAATTCACTATTATATATCAAAATGATATTTGCATATTAAATCTTGGATTGTGGAACAATTAAATTAAACTGGCATTCCTGGGTGTAAAGTTGCTAATCCTCTTTGCCAAAGAATTCTTTGTTCTTAAAAGCAGCAGAATTTAATTTGCTGCAGACCATGCTCAGATTTATTTGTAATGCTTGTCTACAAGTTAATCAGCCAAACAAGTGCTGTCTGCAACTGTTTGGCATTTAATTTAAATTTTCTTTTTCTTTCCTCGCTATGGTAAGCAGCTTATGGGAAATGGTAGGTGACAAACCTGGCCTATTTAGGATTAATATATTTTATCTAGGCTTTACTGAAATTTTTGTTACTGGAATTGATAAGGCAAAGGGCAACTATAAAGTCCATCCAAATTGTGATTAATTTCACCATTAAACAAGTCTTTGTCCAGTAAGAAAATAAAGCATTCTACAGAAGGTAGACCCATTGCTTTAAGAAAAATTAACTTATGATATTAAAACTGTTCACTTACAACTACAAAAGTAATCACATTTCTTTGAAATCATACTTTGCTTTTACTCCATGTCCTTTTCCAGAAATGTCCATGGTAGGCAGGACACAAAGGTGGATTTGGCCTCCTTGTGTATATGAATGACTCCTTATCCTGAAACTCGGATTATAGGCTTACAATCCAGTTTTCTCTTAATGTTTTTCGAAGAAGAGAAAAGTCTAATGTGGAAAAAGAAGACTGTAAAATTAATTCAGAACTTCTCTTTCTCTGTCTTATGATTCAGATCTGCCCATCTGTCAGTATCTTAGTGCTTCTTTAGTAGTTCATTTGTATTTTCTAGAAAATGGCATAAATTCTTCCATTGCAAGTATGCAGTGACTCTAAAAACGAGAGTAGTTGTCTGCTTCTTGATTTACCACACTGTATGCGTGGTCTTAGTATTAGCAGGTCAATGATCAGAGTAGAAATGGAGCTTGGGTTTTCAGATAATAGCAATGAAAGATTTCTGCAGGAGGAAAGTATGTTCCTTTCTCTGTGTAATAAGCAAGATATAATAGAAAAAGCCACAGGCATTGGAGTAGTCCTCCTTTTACCATCTACTTGCTTGCATGATAATGGACAAGTTACTAAACCTTTCTAAGCTTCCTCATCTGTAAAAGGGTGTATATATATATATATATATATATATAATGTCTTTAAGATTCAATCACATAATATATGTAAAGCAGCATGCATGTTTCCTGGATTATGGTAAGTGATCAATAATATTAATTCTCTTTGCCCCTTGAAAGTGGGGATTGTGTTGTCTTCTTTTCCCCACATAATTTTCCTTAGCCTAAAGTACATGCTTTCACACAAATCATCAGAAGACTGTCTCTTAATTACTTTAGAGCTTTGCTAGTATGCATCATTTAGGAATAACTGTCTACTGACAACAGAATTTTCAGAGTGGATTGTACAAAATTGTTTAAAGGATCAAGAATAACTGTACAGACCCACTGTAATAACCAAAGATAAGATAGCAAGATGTGTAATATATTAGAATATCCTGAAAGGTTTTTTCTGGGATTTTAAATAATGATTCATTGAGGATGAATTAAGGTGGGAATTTGCTTTTTTGCCATTAAAATTCAAGATATAAAATTGTCTAAGGATTATTGAAAATATAAAATGTAATGAAAATTAATGACCTCAGACTGTAGAAGCAATACGAAAGAATTCTATAAGTATTGAGTAACATTCTTATCATTCCTCCAAAAGTAATAGGGTCTTATCAATGGGTAGATTTCTGTGCAGTTTAATTTTCCAAAGCTTTTTTGTATTTGAAGCACTATGGGTAATGAGATAAGCCAGACCTAAAAATGTATACATTAAATGATTTCTGTGTTTAGATAGATAGGACCTGTTTTGTTTTCAGAATGAGTTTGTGTGTGTGTGTATGTGTGTGTGTGTGTATGTCTATACATATATACACATATATATATATTTACATATCATGTATTATAGATAATACATTTAACATTTTGTTTCTACACATAGATTATTATAGAAGAGTGGAAATAGCTAATTTTAAAATATGTATTCTGTATTTTCTGAGTTTTCCACAATGAGCATATTTACTTTTACATTTAGAAAAATTATTATTTTCTTCCAAAAGGAAAGAGTAAGAGAAGAAAACAAATCAGGTTAAACCCAGATCAACTCTCAAGTAGCTAATATGAAACTCCTTGTATAAACTCCTTTAGTATATAAAGATAACTGCTATGTAAGACTGAGAAGTATATATAGTTCTGAGAGTTCATGAAAGGAACTTATTCCCTGTGTAGGAAGTAAGGAAGACTTCTGGAGGAAATGGGTTTTGGTGGATATGGTTAGTTCTTTAACATTCATGCTTTTAATGGGGATGAGAAGCATGTTAGAGTTAAAGAGAAGAAGTAGGAAAGGGGGGTCTCCAGTTCACTCATTCTGGGTATAAGATTTGTTGAGAAACATCTTGGAAAGATAGATAGTTTGAAGATTTTAGAGACTCTTCAATATTAGAATAAGGAAATTAGAGGTAATTCAGAAAACAGTGGACTCTAAGCAGTGTTAAATTTTTTTTTATACCATCAGAACGTTATCATCTAGATTAATGGGGGCTTTTGGCAGTGAGATTAATAAAGATCTGAGTTAGGACAGTGGTTGTAGAAGATTTTAAGATTCTTATGTGTTTGTTTGTTTGTTTTTTACAGTGGAATGCATTTTGATATACTTTACACAAATGGAGTACAACTTCTCATTAAGATTCTTTACTTAGTCATCCCAAATGATATGTAGTAATTGAAATACAGTCACTTTAGTGAACAGAAGGTGGGGTGAATTAATAGAGACATAAGACAAACTAAGCTCTGATTCAGATCCAGTATAGCCTCTTCTATCATGAAGATTGAGATGAGGCATTGGCAGATTTCACTTGAAACTTCCTGAATGCAATTCTTTAACAATAAGGCAGTTTAGCATTTGAGCTGCTTCCCAGTTTGACCATTTCCTCTCTCCCTCTTTTTTTCCTTCCCTCTTTCTGTTCATTCCTCTCTTTCTCCCTCCCTTACTTTAACAAATAATAATTGATCATGTCATATTGGCTACTTAAAAGACCATCCTTAAAAAATAAATTATAAAATTCAGTGTGTGCCAGGTGTGGTGGCACACATCTGTAATCTCAGTGGGTCTCGAGGCTAAGGCAGGAGGATCACGGGTTCAAAGCCAGCCTTGGCAATTTAGCAAGGCCCCAAGCCAACTAGGGAGACCCTGACTCAAAATAAAATATTTATTTAATAAAGGTTTGGTACTTAATCAGTGATTAAGTACCCCTGGGTTCAATCCCCAGTAAACCCTCCTCCCTTTTGACCAAAAGGCAGTAGTTGTATGCTAGGAATAGAGCTCAGTGGCTGAGCACTTGGCTAGGATGATTGAGGCCCTAGGTTCAATCCCCAGTGCCACACACATAAAGCAATAGTTGCTATAAAATAAAGTGTTGTAGAAAAGATCTATTTCAGTCTATGTTTTTCAAAGGTAATGCTCTTTGGAAGGAGAACTGCAAGATTAATTGGGCTAGGTACAGTGGCACATACCTTAAATCCTAGTAATGTGGGAGGCTAAGGCAAGAGGATCTCAGATTCAAGGCCAGCCTCATCAAATTACTAAGAGTCTAAGCAACTTAATTAGATCCTGAGAATAAAAATAAAAAGGGATGGGGATGTCACTTAGTGGAATTGTCTAGTACATTATTAAACATTTAACAAATGTAAGTTTGATTCCCTTCATTTTTCTTTTTAAATTTTATTATTATTACTTTTACAGTTCCGTTTAGGTTGCTGAGTCTGACCTCAAACATTGATCTTCCTGCCTCAATCTCCTGAGTTGCCTGGATTACAGGCATGCACAACCACACCCAGCTCTATATGGCATATATAACATTGTTTCCTTTTTTTTTTTTTTTTTGGTAGTTGTAGATGGACAGAATACCTTTATTTTGTTGGTTTATTTTTTTGTGTGATGCTGAGGATTGAACCCAGTGCCTCACACATGATAGGCAAGTGCTTTGCCACTGAACTATGGCCCCAGCCTCGAAGTCAACCCTTTTGTCTCTTCTGCAGACTCATCTTCTGGGAACTATCTAGTTCTTTCCAGCATTCTTATGGCACATTCTGGAATTCATTATGTATGCCATTGAGGAAATGTTTACAAATGAGTTTTATAAACTTATATGAGTATATCAGATACAGTTTATTAAATATATTCTATAGCTCTCCAATTATGATCATTTTTTACACACACACCACCCCCATGGAAACAAGTAGAATTATACATCTTATTATTTAAAATATGTCAAGTATAAAGACTGATTGTTAATGCCATTGCTCATTTAGTGTTTTTTGTGGTTTTTCTGTTCTTTTATTCAATGCATAATTCACTTGGCTAGTATGATTGAGGCCCTAGTTTCAATCCCCAGCACCACAGTTTATATATAGTTGAAATGAGTTGAATCATGTATCTTACCTAATACTTTCTTCACCTGTCAACACTGCTTCTCAATTCCCCTCCAGTGAACTCCTCTAATGTCATAACTCCTCTCATTTTTGGGGGGTGGGAGGATGGTATGGGGATTGAACTCCGCACCCTCAACCACTGAGCCACATCCTAGTCCTGTTTTGTATTTTATTTAGACACAGAGTCTCACTGAGTTGCTTAGCGCCTCGCTTTTGCTGAGGCTGGCTTTGAACTTGTGATCCTCCTTCCTAAGTTCCCGAGCAGCTGGTATTAATAGGCGTGCGCCACTGCACCTGACTAATCATTATTTTTAATGGTCACATCATCCACTATAAATGAAATAATGTTTATTTGTCCCTTTCTTCTTTGAGGAAAATTTTCATTGTAATTAGAAATAATCATGATTCATATCTTTATTAACTACAGTTATACTTGGTTTTCAGATTATTTACTTTAGATTATTTCTCAGGACTGGGTCAGCTGCCCCTACCATTTTCAAAGTGCCTGATAAAGACAGAAATGCTAATGTCTTTGGAGGTGAGGCCTCCTTTGTGGTTCACAGGAGAAAAAATTTGAGTTGTTAGTCAAACGCTCTAGTTTTGCTAGAAACTCTGGTAAAATAAAATGACATTTCTCTGAAAACAAACAAAAATAACTTCAGTACTTTAATTGTATTTTAAAGTACTTTAGTCACCTCCCAGGAAGGGAATGTTGCTGACTATTTAAGATAAAGTAACACTTATTGAATATTTCAGTTTGTATTAAAGACTGGACATTAAATCCAGGGATACATGATGTACATAAGATACAAACTTAAATAATAGTATGAAATGTTAAATAACTGTATCAAAGGCATCTTTAAGGAAATATGTCACTTAATTTATCTCTTACTGAATGCATGGCATATGCCAGGCACTGCTAGTTATCAGTGCAGTCCAGAGATGAGAAAGATCCTGCTTTAAATGTAACCAGCATTTCTTAATGCAAACTCTTCCCCTGGGGCTCAAACCTAAATTACCAGGTGAACAGTATAACTAATAATGGTAATTCTTTTATGCTTCACAAATAGTTTTAATGTACATCTTTATATTAGCCTCACAGAACTACTTTCAGAAGTAACTAGGGCAAAGCTTTAAGGACCAAATATGGGCTGTGGAGCTTCTTTATTAGTAGTGCCGTGGAGTTTGAAATCAGGCCCTGATTTTCCATTTTCTGTCATTTCTCCTGTTTCATCCCTACCTCCGTGACCTCCCAATACCTCAGAATCTGAACTATCAAAACAACTTACCTTTCTTCGTTTTCAAGTTAAACTTTCTGTCTCATCTAATTTTCTCCCCGCTTCCACCCTGTAGCCAGAGTAAATTTGCAGTCTTCTCAGTGGAGGAAATACTCTTTGTTCATGGCTTTTGGGTTAAGACCAAAAGTTGGGGGCTGAGGTTGTGGCTCAGTTGGTAGAGTGCTTGCCTAGCATGTGTGAGGCAGTGGGTTCGATTTTCAGTACCACATATAAGTAAATAAATAAAGTCAATCAACAACAAAAAATTAAAAGACCAAAAGGTGGTATTCTAGTGGTTTCCCAATCTTTGTTACTCTCCTCTTTGTTCTTCACTCTACCAAATTCAGGGCTTTTATCCCAATTTGCCTTCCTTAATAGGCCAGGATGCATCCCATATGTACAGAGTACAGAGTAGAGATTAGAGCTAGTTTTTCCTACCCTGACTTTCAGAATTTCAAGTTGGGTCATTTCTCATGCAAATTTAAATCCCTATCCCATGAGTTAGTTTACTGTCTCCTCTATAATACCCAGGGAAAGGAATCATGTTTAGTTTATGATGCACTGTTTCCTTGACTCCATCAGCCATATTTTCCTCCTTATTAGACATGATATTCAAATCTGTACTGAAGATTTTAGAGAGAGGTATAATTGCTAAAATGCATAGTAAGTGCTATGATACCTCTCTCTTTCCTTGCTCTTTCTTACCTATCTTGGCAAATAGTTGAGCTGGATTCTTGTGTTTGCTCTTGGAAAACCTGTGCATGATTTTTTCTTCTTACTCTGCAGGACATGAGGCTAGAGTGGGAATTTTGTTATTGTTTTCCATTTTTCACTTAAATTATATGATTAAGAAAACTCAAAGTAGGTGAAAATTTTCAGTCACATTTAAGATGATCTTTCTTGAGATAGATTGAAGTACAGTGGGGAAAAAATTCTTCATTTCTTTTTACTTTAAAAGTAATAATTGTTTGATAATCTGTTTTTACTGATCTACATAGAAGCTTGTTATGATACCAGCAGATTTAAATCAGAATAATGTAATGAAACTAGTATAATAGGTTACTTTTTTGTGCTGATCAGTAAACGCAGAGATGTGTTTTGAAGCACAGTAACTCAGGTACAAACAAACATGCCAGTTTTTCTATTATAATAATTATTTATCTTCTCTATGTATTAAATAAATTTTATGTAGCAAAATACAGACAGAATTATATAAGTGAGTTCATTGTTTTAATTAACATTAACTGGCTTTTGATGTTATATTTCACATCCCAATTAGAATTCTGTTCTTCTCTTCTCCATGTTTTTATTACATTTTCTATTTCTGCTTTCAACTTGGAGTGTTTAAAATTCAATAAGATGTTAAGAGATAAGCCAGAGTCATGAGCTTTGTAATGTTTTGAACAACCAATAAAAAAAAAATAATAAAAAAAATAAAGAGATAAGCCAGAAATGTTGACTATTACAGCAGCCTAGGAGATTTAGTTAATCTGACCTAGATGTTCTTTTGAGGATTGATTTATATGTGAAAACAGTTCTCAATTTCAAAATGAAACATAGGAAGATCTGCTGTATAAGTCAGCTGTCCTGCTGGTGACAGGCAGATTAATCAGCCACAAACAGGAAAAGTTTACCTTGACAAGTTGTGCTATTTAGACCTTTGGCATTTGGATCAGAACTGATATTGAAAGTTGTAAGTGAATGTAGCCCTTTCATTTTGCCGTGTTCTAAAGAGGATTATTTGCTAGATTTTCAAGAGCTTTTTGTATACATTGACGTTGGTTTCATTTTCATTTTGTAATGCATGTGAAGCAAAACAGATGTGAGGAAAGTCTTGAATAGAAATTGTGTCTGAATGTGATATTAATGATATTTAATAATATATTTCAATGGTTAATTTATCATTTTTTTTATATCCCAGAATGTGGATATTTGCACCAATAGAATGAGAACACTTAACCCAACTTATACTGTATTCATTTTCCCATCTTTCTGCCAAAGCTGTAAGATGTTAGTACTGCCTCAGTTTTTAATTTAACATTGTATAATGTTATTTTGCAAAATTAAAATAATGGGAAGCAGGTTGGGATTGTGGCTCAGTGGTAGAGTGCTTGCCTAGCATATATGAGGCCCTGGGTTCAATCCTCAGCACCACATATAAATAAATAAATAAGCAAGTAAGTAAGTAAATAAATAAATAGTGTTCATCTACAACTAAAAAGTTTCAAAAAATAATGGGAAGCCAGTCTTGTTGGCACATGTGTGAAGTCCCAGCTACTCAGGAGGTTGAGATAGGAGAATCACTTGAGTTTAGGAGTTCAAGGGCAGCCTAGGTAACATGGCGAGATCTCTGTCTTTAAAATAATAATAGAATTATGGAGACTTATGAGTAAGAGATCAGGGATACCTGGTTACAGCAACAAAGCCAAGTAGAGAAAGCAAGAAAGGTCCCTCCTCTAGAGTAGACCAGCCAATGCTGATGAGTTTGTGGTTGTCTTATCATAGCGTTGTGATGGAAATGCAGTGTTTAATGGTGAAACCTTCTAAGAGATACTGAAAATACTAGAGGCAGAAGGAAAAATCCTGGGAATTATGTTGACATAGTTTTTCTTTTTATTCATAATACAACATTGTGAAATAAATTCCTGAAGCCAAGAGTTATTGACTAAATAATTTGTAATTGAGGATATAACATGTTTAAATTTTTGAAGCAAATGAAGACTGCAAACTAATTTTTGAAGACTGCAAACTAATTTAAGTACTTTGCTCCTTAAACATTTAGTTTTACATGTTAGGTAGCATTTTTTTTTTTTTTTTTGGTAATTGTTAGAGTACTTTTTTACCACTGTAAACTTTATAAGAATGTTTCTTTTAAAACTGAAAGCTATTGGTTTGTTATCGTGACAATTGTTAATAAGTCCATGCAATGGGTTAATAATTTTTGTCTCCTGAATTTGTTGAGATCTCTTTTGACGTGTGTGCTGAAGGAAGAGAGGGAGAGTCAGAGAGAGAGTGAGAGTGAGAGAGTGAGAGAGAGAGAGAGAGGAGACAACCAAGAACATGATGCACATTTATGTTTAATTTGATATATATCGGGGTAAATTATTTCATCACTTCTTTTTTTGGGTGGAGATACTGGAACACTCAACTACTGAGCCACATCCCCAGCCCTGTTTTGTATTTTATTTAGAGACAGGGTCTCACTGAGTTGCTTAGCACCTCACTTTTGCTGAGGCTGGCTTTGAACTTGGGATTCTCCTGTCTCAGCCTTCTGAGCCACTGGGATTACAAGTGTGCACCACTGTACCTGGCCATCAATTCTTTTTGAACTAAAGAAAAGTATAACCATTTTCTTTATCAAAGATTTATGGAATGAATATTGACCAGCAAACCAGCATTTTCAAATAACCTGAATCTTTTAGATACAAGTTAAATATAGGTCACATTTTATGCTCTATTTTAATCCTTATTGTAGATCTTTGATAACTGTGGAATTACATTTATAGGTTTATTTTAGTATACTCTCTTTGAGGAAAAATACAATATTTAACTAAAGCTTACCTCTGTGATATGATTATTTTATTTTTCAGACACCAGGCATTAGAGCTCGACCTACAAGACTTCAGTGGTTTTGTGATAGATGTATCACTAGTAATCAGGTTTGTCTTTAATTTCTGATATCTGAACTACTTAAAACTGAGAAGAAAGCATATGTATTACATGTCATATGACCGTTTGGGGATTTCCAGCAATAGAGCGTTGTGGAAGTGGTGTTAACTTGGTTATTCTTCAAATAAGTGATAGCTCATTTGTTTCTGCAGTTAACCTGGGCCCTGAAGATTTTAATTTGCTTTGTCTCAGTTGCTTTGAGCAGGCTGACTTTACCTGGCAATTTAACCTGCTTTAGTCCTTAGTGATTGGAGAAGTTACCTAATAGAACCCAATGGGATTTCTGCTTTCCTTACCCCGCAGTGCAAGTATTTGTTCACATTGTACCAAGTAAAAGCCACAGGAGTGTAATGTGTGGATAGAGGAATATTTTCATTAACTCACAATATGCTTGAATTCTCTATACCCTGTTCTCTGCCCCAGACATCTTTAATTCTCCAAAATGTACCTTGATGAAAATTCTCTTATTTTGTGTTCTTGACTCCAGAGGGTCCAATAGCCCTTTAACTTTAAAGAAAAAAAAAAATTTTTAATTGTGGTAAAATATAAATATAACAACATTGTTTTAACCATTTTTAACTGTACAATTCAGTGACATTAAATACATTCCTGTGGTTGTACTCAACCCTTTAGTTTTTTAAGTGAAGTTAATCTGCCCCATGCGTAAAGCTAATTTGGATTATTCAACTGCTCTCTGTCAACTGTAAAATACATCTTTTGCCCAATATAAATCTACCTGTTAATCTTATTTTTAAGGTTGAAGCTCTGGAAAAATTAGTGGAGCTGACACAAAAGCTATTTGAGTGCGATAGAGACCAGATGTACTTCAATCTGCTAAAACTATACAGTAAGTGATTTCACTGTTTCTCGTGTTTTCAGTTATTTAGTATGTTGAAGGCATTGGCAGGAAGGGGAAGTATCAAGCTTTGAGGAATCTCCAGGGATTGACAAATATGGAGTTTTCAACAGAGGCTAGGTTGAGCTTTTTCACAGTATGTTACTTTGTATTATTGGATATTATGTAATCTCTATAACTTCTGACATTGATACTGGACTAATGAAAAGGTAAAATCTTCATCCTCAGTTGTTTTCTTCTTGTGTTCCTAGAGCCCAGAACTGTGGGTGACTCATATTCCATGCTGTTAAGGACCCATGCCCAACTGGCCTAATTCCCTTCCCATCCAACCTTTTCTCTTTATGTAATGGGAGACTGAAGTTAAGGTATAAAAAAGAAGAGGGCTTCTTTTGGTATTTTTTCATTCTTTAAAATGAGAGTGTCCTCACAAAAAGGAACCAAGAAACATGATGTAGCCAAGATACCACTAGGAATGTGTGATCAGGGTTAAATGGTACCTTCAATGTTGATTTTTAAACTGATACTACTTCTTTTTTAGTGTTTTTCACCTTTTAAATGGAATTTATAGGAGACCATTGGTTTGGACTGAGCTCCTTTTGCACCAGGCCCAACAGACCAAATCAAAATGTAGTTACTCGTGCTGGAGGTCTACACAACCAAATCCAACCTTTCCAGAACTTAGGAGACCTGAGAAAAAGATGATAGCCAAATCCCCAAACAGGCCAGTTTTAGCTGACATATGATAAGAAGGTCCCCTCTACTTCAGATTTACAAGAAAAGAACTTTTGAAACAACCATTCTACCTTTTATTTTTTCCTTCAGCCCTCTTTTGTCTATAAAGTTAAACTCCTCTGCTCAGCCTATTGGAATACTTATTCTATTTTATACGATGAGGGTTTGCCCGGTTTTATCATGGGAGATAAAAGCCAAGTAAGATCTTTAAATTGAAATAGAAGAGAAAATAAAATCTTCATCAGAACCATAGAATTTTGTTTTTTGGTACCAGGAATTAAACCCAGGGTGCTTTACCACTGAGCTATATCCCCAGCCCTTTTTATATTAATTTTTTTATTTTGAGACAGGATCTTGCCAAGTTGCTGAGGTTAGTCTCAAACTTGCAATTCTCTGGCCTAGGCCTTCTGAATCCCTGGGGTTACAAGTGTATACCACCATACCTGGCTTAATGGGACATTTTGAGGTGAAACTAATCCTTCTTTTCATTTAAATCCTGAAGTAGATGTATCAGTCACTCACTTTAGTACTCATCAACATATTCATGTGTGTAGATCCTTTTGCAGAAAGATGCATATCTATTTACACACTTAATTTGTAATTTTTTTTTTTTTTTTTTGCGGCAGGGAGGATACCAGGGATTGAATTCAGGGGCACTTGGCCCCTGAGCCACATCCCCAGGCGTATTTTGCAGATACTGAGTTGCATAGCGCCCTGCTTTTGCCGAGGCTGGCTTTGAACTCAAGATCTTCCTGTCTTAGCCTCCTGAGCCCCTGAGATTACAAGCATGCACCACCATGCCCAGCTGCCGAAATGGTTTCTTTAAAATGATATTTTTTAAAAATATTTATTTTTTAGCTTTTTAAGTGGACTCAATATTTTATTCTTATGTGGTGCTGAGGATCGAACCTAGTGCCTCACACATGCCAGGCAAGCGTGCTACTACTTGAGGCATATCTCCAGCCCCTAAAATGATATTTTTTACTTAGTTATATTTTATAAGCATTTTTATTAATCATCTACAAATGACTAATATACTGAATAGATATGCTAGAACTTAGTCAATCAGTCCCCTTTTGCTTGGATGTGAATAAATTTCAGTTTTCCATGTTATAAAACAATAGCACATTATTCATCTATGTGTTTATATCATTGTTTATACCCTTAATTGTTTCTGTATGGCTAAATTCTTAGTATATATACTTAAGGGTAAGAAGTGAATGTGACTTCTGAAAATTTTGACTTCTTTTACCAAATATTGCCCTCATATATTTATACCACTATACACATTTGGGAGTTTTACCGTCCCTTTTTATCATTGGAAGCTTTATCTTACTTCTTGATGATTTAAATAAAATATGACTTACTTTAAAATGAACATTACAATTTTTGGTTGATTCGAAGGACACACTTTACATTGTAATTCTTAAAACTTTGTCTTCGATGATGATATAATGTAACATAGGTGAATGTACAAAATAAAAAGCTTTTTTTTAGACTCTTAGGATGTTAATTCACTTTTCCACCCATTTCTGTTTCATTTTAAAGAATTATCTTATGCTTAACTTTGTAATTTATGCAAACTTTTTTTAAAAATCCAATATACTGATTTTTATATTCAGATGTAACAATCCTGAAGATATAAAGTTAGTGCTCCCCTGGGAAAGTGGGGTGTGAGAATGTGAGGTGAGGCAGGAGTCCTGGGCAGGCCACACATACAAATTTTTACTCAGTTGAGCTTTTATTGTTGCTAAAACAAACAAAACAAAGAAAAAAGAAAATTCCCTCGAGGAATAGGCAGTCTCTGAGTTATCAAATCATTTTCTTCTCCTTGATTCCTCCTATCTGTTCTGTTAGATATGTGCCTCCAGTTTTTTTCTTGCTCTGAATTCGAGCCAGTGGTCAAAGGAGCTCATTGGGAATCTGTTTTAGGAAACCTTACTGGGAAGTATGCTTTTCAACTCTGTTTTTATGCTTCCCACCTTCTGTATTGCCATAAGTAGATTATCTGGTTGTAATAGCCCTTATCCTTTTCTTTCTGAAGAAAAAGCAAACTCCTCTTTTGTATCCCCTTATTTGTTTTGCCCTCTGACTTGGATTACAACCTAAATATTGTTACGTGGACACAGTATATTAGAAAAGCTATACATGGTATGGAATAATATATGAAATATATTATTATACTTGAAAAATTAATATTTTCCTGAAAAAATAATTTGTTTGACCTACAAAAATTTTTTATAAGCTGTTCTTTTTCATGTTATGATTTTAGCCTCTGAAAGGGGTTGTGTCAATTACTTGAAGTATTTGTTTTTCTTTTTCTTTTCTGATATTGAAGATCAAATCCAGGGCCTCATGCATGCTAGGCAAACACTGTCCACTGAGCTTCTTCCCCTGTCCTTGGGACTTGGGAGTATTTGTTGAAAAGCAACTTTCCTTTATTTTAAAATAGTGCCTTTTTTTTTTTTTTAAGAGAGAGAGAGAGAGAGAGAGAGAGAATTTTTAATATTTATTTTTTAGTTCTTGGTGGACACAACATCTTTGTTGGTATGTGGTGCTGAGGATCGAACCTGGGCCGCACGCATGCCAGGCGAGCGCGCTACCGCTTGAGCCACATCCCCAGCCCAAATAGTGCCTTTTGTACCTTTTTTTTTTTTTTGCAGGTGGTGCTGGGAATTGAACCCAGGGCCTTATGCATGTGAGGCAAGCACTCTACCAACTAAGCTATATCCCCAGCCATGTACTATTTTAAATAGTGCCTTTTGTACTATTTTTGTATACACACTCGATTTTGTTGTGAACTACTACCTATTACAGAAACATGCACAAAACAAAGATAGAGCTCAGTCATTTATACAGCTAACAACTCACGAAACTATGTCAGTCTTTAACATTTTCTTATGATCTTAGGTTCTTTAATTTATTCTTTGCATATACAAAATAAAGATGAGTTTATTCTTTGTATACATAAAGTACTCCATTCAAAAATACAGCTGCCTTAACACTTTGCTTTAAGAATTCTTTAAATCTGCTGGGTGCAGTGGTGCATACCTGTAATTCCACTGTTTCTGGAGGCTAAGGCAAGAAGATTGCAAGTTCAAAGCCAGCCTCAGCAATTGTGAGGTGCTAAGCAACTCAGTGAGACCCTATCTCTAAATAAAATACAAAATGGGGCTGGGTTGAATGTCCTGAGTTCAATCCCTGGTACCACACTCCCCCACCACCCCCCAAAATGTCTTTAAATCTATTTTTTGAAAATGTATGACCTCAGCATTTATTCTACCTCAGAGTTATTTTTATGTTATTTCTTCAAATATGTATAGCCATTGACATTTATTTTCACACTGGGCAGTTTTTCCCCTCTATTACACTAGTAAAATGAATGTGTTCGTAAGTATTAAAGATTGAAACAATATAATAATATTAGCTAACAGTGAAAATGCCATTGTGTTCACTTGCAGCTCCAAACTCCCTGCCTCAGAGGTAACTTTTGTCAATTGTCCATCCTTCCAGTTCCCTCTCTCTACATTTAATTTATATTCATATATTTACTTACATATGCATCTATTATGTTAATTATTTTACATTGAGATTGTTTTGCACTTTACATTTTTTATATCCAACATTGACTTCTTTTACTTAATGATATGAAATAAATTCATAAGAATAGACAAATACTTACTTATTCTTCTATTAATTACTAACTTATGTACAGATGTCCTTAAAACAACCAAAGTTGACAAGTGATTTTTTTTTTTAATGAATTCATGGATTTTTAAAATATATACATCTTTGTTTTCGTTATTACCTCCCTCTTGCCTCGAATGTACTGGGGAATGATCCCAGGGGCACTCAACCCTAAGTTGCCCAGACTAGCCTTAAACTTGTAATCTTTCTGTCTTAACCTCCAGATTTACTAGAATTAAAGTGTGCTCCATCACACCCAGTATAGTCATTATTCTTTTTAGTCTTCAAATTATGTCATTTTTGGACAGTAGGAACCCCTTCCACTGGTTCCTATGTTGTCTGATGCATACCATATTAGTCTTTGATAGTTCTTTCACTGTCCAGGCTTTTGTTTCATAATTCCCATCTCCAGACCTGGAATCTTTATTTTATGGGGAATGATACTTAGAAAAATGTAGTTTGCAGTTTACGTGTGACCCGGGGAAATTTTCCTACTCATATTTTTACCTTTTTCTTTATTGCTGATTTCTGATTTCTAATGGAATCTAAGTATATTTTGCTTTTTCTCAGAATTTTTTATTTCTAGGAGTCATTAGTTATCAAAAAGCTTAGGGTTTTTCTGTTTTTTATCCCGAGGGTGGGGGGGTCCTAGGAAATTTTTATTTGTTTTGGTATTTTTAAATAATTCCTCTAACAGACTATGGATCACATATATTCATGTCTTCTGAAGTGTTTGTGTTCCAGAGCAAACCCCTTCATCAAGGGGTCCCTGTCAGAAAAGCTTTTTAAAAAGACATCTAAAACAGTGTATTTCTTTTGATTTTGCTGTTTGTGAAAACTGGGTCACCACCTAAGAGGAACCATGTTTTTCAGTGTGAAAGAATTTGTGTATGTCCTTTCCAACAGACTTCTTGTCTAGTCTTGGGGCTGGGGTTGTGGCTCAGTGGTAGAGCGCTCGCCTAGCACGTGTGAGGCCCTGGGTTCTATCCTCAGCACCACATAAAAATAAATAAATAAAATTAAATTAAAAAAAAAATCTAGTCTTGATTGCATTACCTATTGAGATAAGATATCTAAGAAAACATATCACACACACGCTATCAGAGATTCTTCATGGCAACAGAAGAGGAGACAGTTTGTCTCGGCTAAGTAAAAAGGGTTTATAGATTTGTCATTTGTAAAGCAAAGTCCTTCATTTGAATGCTTTCAGTCATTTCAGATCCACAGTTGTGAACTAGATATTGAACATGTGTTTACCACATTTATAAACACCAAAGGGCATGGTTGAATTATTACTTGTTTCTGATATGGATTTTGGCAATGGTCAATTCCTCAATTACTTTAAAAACAAACTTTTTATCTACATAATTTTCAGTCTTTAATAAAAACAAGGGATCTTTTTATTTTTTAACAGGTAAGATTGTTTTAGTGATTTGTAATTCAAAAGGTTCAGAAATGTTTACAGAAAAGAGTCCTTGCTTTTGGTCCACAATCACTTTTGGTTTGTCTCCGTAAAGGCAGTATTTGGAATAAATTCAGAACAAGTTCTGAAGATTTTCATGAATTCTGTTTAAGATCTTTATTATTTTCTGTTTAATCAAATTCTACAGAAGCAAATGGTGACTGGCAAAGAGCTGATGCTGCCTGGAATAAAATGCAAGAAGAAAACGTTATTCCTCGTGAGAAGACATTAAGATTATTAGCAGAAATCCTTAAAAACAGTAACCAGGAAGTTCCATTTGATGTTCCTGAGGTAATTTGCTTTTAGCATCAGCTTTTATACCAAAAAGATAACTGTAGTTACAGTTTTTGTTTTACCGAATAATTTTGTTTTAAAGATGTGGTATGAAGATGATAAACATTCCCTGACTATTTCTTCATCACCCTCACCTGTGGAAACTAATCTAGAGAAAGATTTGTTGAACACCTGCCGAATGAAGAGGAACAGAGGTAAACATAACCACTGCAATCTTGTTTCTACTAAGAACTTTTATATATTATTTTTCTCATTTGGACACAATTGGGAGAACTTAAGGTTTGTTGTTGTTGTTGTTTTTGTTTTTGTTTTTTTATGGAGTATTTTTTGTTTTGCGCTTTTTTTTTTTTTGCATTGCTGAGGGTCAAATCCAGGGTCTGGCTCAAGGTAAGCAGGAGCTCTGTCACTGAGCCACACCCCAGCCCTAGGAGAATTTAAGTATTGATTGAGTAGAGGGTAATACTCAGGAATTGCTCTTATTTTTATTAGATGATTTCTGTAATCGTTTTTAAGCCTTAAAGAACAAAGAAAGCAAATCTGGCCAAACATTAATAATTATTAAATGTAGGTAATGCAGTTCATGATTCCGTTCTTTATACTTTTCTATAGGTTTGACTTTTTCTTAATAAAAACTGTTGTCAATGTACATTTTTATCAATGATTATAATCATGTGTCCCTAACATGGACATGTTCTGAGAAATGTGGTCTTGGTTGGTTTCGTCCTTGTGCAGACATCATGAGTGTACTCACCCAAACTAAAGATGTCATCAGTGTTCCTAGGCTGTGCAGTGTTGTCAACAAAAATGTTGTCATGTGGTACTGACTACACTTTGAAAATAACATGGTCACAATTTGGGAGGACAAATATGATTTTTATGTGAAAACGAAAACATAACTAGAGCCTTAACTACCATATTAGCATGTGTTGAAGTGATCAAGCAATCTCTGAAGGTTAAAGTCCTTTTACTTGTTATTTCCCCCCTTTTTCTATTCGTAAACTTTTCTGAAGACATCTATTCATTTAGACTTCTTTATATCCTTTCCAAACTATATATTATTCTTATTTTTGTTCATTTCTTCCCATGGAATGTTTTAATTTCGTCAATTTTCGGGTGGAATTCAAGTATGTTTTGTGATACTCTATTAAGAAAATAAATATAGCAGATTTGGGGTTTGTTTCATTTTAGTATTGACAGCTTGGGACTCTATTCAGTAGAAAACACTCAATTTAGAAATTCATAGCCCTACTTAGAAACTAGAAATTTAGTGACACTGGCATAAACTTTCTGAAGTAAGAATAAACTAATCATCTAGAGAATATCTTATCCAAAGTAAAACAGTTTTATTCCTTGAATTTTTTTCCTTTGCGTCTTATTCAGTCTATGCATTCTTGACTGTTTTATCATATGTCTATTAAAGCTAAATATAAAATTGTCAGTACTATGTAAATATTCTGGTGAAATTTTGATCTGACTAAAATGAGAGTCTGAAACATTCATATATAGCCTTTAAAAAATGTTTTTAAGTGAATACATAAAACTAGTTAACATAATGCAGTTATTCATCAACTAATTTTATTCTATTAATTCAGAGGTTCTAAATACTTCTTTTAAAGTATCAGGGTTTGAATGCTTAGCAAGATATAAATACTTTGAAAGTGGAATATTCATATTAGTATTTTTCTGTAAGTTCTTAAGGGTATATTGTGATTGTCATACCAGTAGCAAAGTTGTGATAATGGTAGAATTCCTTCTTGCTTATCTGTGCGTTTTTGCTTTCTACTTTTGCCAGTGCCCTAGCACATACAAGTATAAAGCAGTTGGTAATTGAATGGCAACAAGGGTTATTCTTTGGAAAGCTTGCTTAAAATTTTATTAACTTGTACCACAGTTACTTTCACTCACCCAAATTGTTAGTTAAGATGCACATAGAAATATTGTCATCCCTGGTTTCCCTTTTTTTTCCTTCTAGTTTAACATGAAGAGAGAAGTTTGTGACACTGCCACTTCATTTTAGTAAAGGAAATAATGCACACGCTCTCGGCTTGTACATAAAAGCATTATAGTTTTTGCCTGTTTAGAAACCTCAGAGAGCATAGAATGTTCTTCTGAGCATTAGCATCTTATCCATTCCATGTTCTCTGTGTCTTTGTGTTGAGCCTTATGTGCATAGAAGGCCGTACCTGATAGTTGAGTTATGCTCTCCCTCTATTGTGATGTGTTTATATACACAAGGGAATGGATTGTAGTTTCAGTTGGCTGTTTATAGCCAGGCAATTTTATTTCAGAAAAGTAAGTGACTGAAAAGTGTAGTTACTTCTCTTTTGGTAACATCTTTTCATTCACTGACAGTTATTGTGAACAAGTGAAATAAAACTGTTAATCAGTCAAACAAATGTTGCCTAGTTTACTCGTTAGATATCTGTATATTTGAAAATTGTATGTTTTTGTATAAGTCCTGTCGTAGCCAAATAATTTGATCTCCTAATTTTAGAATTATAGGCTATATTCACTTTAATGCTATTGTGCTGAAATGTTAACCATTGTAACCACCCACTTATAGATTAAAGATTGCTTTAAAATGAATCTTTTGCTCCCCTCAATCTAAATTATACCTCTGGTTTATTTGGACTTTAACACACATTTTGCAGTTTATTTTGAAACTCGTATCATCTTTTGGCAAATTCAGGAGAGCTATTTCTCATTTTTATTTGCAAGAACATAATTTATTGACTGAAGAAAGCTAGTATGAAAAAATAGTTTTAAAAGAAAACCAATATGTTTCCAAAATTGAAATTTGGCTTTAAAAGATTTGAAGAATGATGATATCTGCTTGTGCCATCAGCATGTATCTCTATAGAATTATAATGGTAGATAAGTATTTAAAAAGAAATATATGGGCTTAGGACTTTGGTTTTCCCCTTCCTTTTTGCCAATTCAGAATAATGTCATCTTATTTTTTTTCTCTCATAGATGCATATAATATCTTCCTGAAAGCACAAAGGCAAAACATTGTATTTAGCAGTGAAACTTACAACAAACTAATACAATTACTGTTGTCAAAGGATAGTTTTCCACAGGCAATGCAAGTTAAAGATTTGTAAGTATCACTCTGTTAAACCTTTTGCTTTAAAAAATATTGGCTACAATTAAGATTGTTTTTACATGGTTTAGTAGCAATTGCTTATTTAGCCTTAGTTACCCATAAAGATCGTAAGAAATGCTAACTCCATTGTATGTTTTTTTATCCCATAAAAAATGTAACCATTATTACCCACACATAGTACATTTTATTTTCTTTGTGTGCCCACAGCTCATTTTACACATCCATGTACATAAAAGTAATTTTTTTTCTTGTTCAGCAACTAATTCCATAGATTTTTTTTTTTTTTTCTGTAATAAGAGCAGCCTGTTGTAATGAAGATACAAAGGGCTTGAAAGATGGAGGTTTGAATGTTACTTGAAAGCACCTTGATTTGGGGGAAACTTTGAGCCATCTCTGAGCCTTGGTTTTTCTTCCAAACAATAAGTTTTACATTAAATAACTTAGAGAAACTGAAGGAAAATATAGGTTCTCAAAACATTTTCTATGCCATTACCAGTAATGGGTTTTTTGGTTTGGTTTTGGATTTTTGAAAGAAAAATCTCTTTGGTGCTAGCAGTGGTTTTGTCTCTTGGGCTAATCCCCTAGATGAAAATACTCTGCTAATCAAAATAAGAAGAAAGGTTTCTTACTGGTGTATCTGGTAACTAATTGATGTTATCTTATCCCCAAGTTACTATCTTGAAAACTTTAATTAATAAATTAAAAAAACAGTCTAGAAGGGAGGAATTGAAAATCACCTGCCTTGAAACATAAGCATGTTGACGGGTCAGTAGTTTATTTTCAATGGAAAAGAGAACTTTTCCCTAATATACCATTTAGAGATTCTGAAGTAAACTCAACCAATTTTTACCTACAAAATTTTTTAAGTCATAGCACTTTTGGAATATAGAATTCTGAATAGAAAATTGATGCTTGCCATTCTTTCGAGTCACTAGGAAACCTAGTGTTAATTTCAGTGTTGTTAAAGTTATGCTTGATAGGTCTATTCCTAGGGTTTGTGTTTTGGTACATTTCGAAAAATGTATCCTGTCATCTATAACCACTGAAAGCAAGGGGTTGGGAGGACTATCTTTTAAAATTACTTTTCTCAAAAAATTACTATAAAACTATCCCATAATCAAAGGTATTCTGAAACAGTGGTGATTTGGAAAGACAAAAAAAAGAAAAGAGCTTTTTTGTGTTGAGAATTAGGTATTAAAGTGAGGAGATAAAACAAAACCGTTTAGTGCTGAGAATGGTCCTAAAAATACAACAAAAATTTTTTTTTCGTTCTTTTTGGGTTTGTTCTGGAACAGTGGCCCTTACTCTGGCAGCATAAAAAGATTACCCACATCCCACCACAAAGGTGGGCAACTGCTAGGGTGTCAAGGCACAGGAATGTGCATTTTACTAAGCTCCCTGGGTGATACAGGAATCATGTGTCTCTAACATTTTGGTTATACACCCTTAATAGTTGTAATAACATATCACATGTAAGTATATTATAGAATATACTTAAAACATATTCATAAGATGAGATTGGAAAACAGAGATTTAAACGTATTCTTGCCTCTTAGGGTGGGTTCAGGATTCTAGAATATTTTCCAGACTGCAATTGCAATCAGTTAGTGGCTCATGAAATCTAGTGGGACAGAATCAGCATTTTTCTTTTTTAAATGAAATAGACTGGAAAATATCAAAGCACTTCATTTAATGAAGATAGCATTTTGTGAAATGTTGATTTCAGTTTTATGGGCATGTATATAGCTATATTGCATGTATATAGCATGTACTGCGATGTAGTATAAAACATCATTTCTTTCTATAGTCCTACTATGAATCTTGACATAATAAGTTTGAAAGACACTGACTTTTATAAGTATAACCCTTATATTCACAATCTGTAAAATACAGGCTTATCTTCTTTCCTTCTCTTTCATTCTAGGTTTTCATAAAGATATTAGAATATAATTGACATATAAAAAGATGTATATGTTTAATGTATATACCTGAGTGTGTTTGGGAATAAGTATATTTTCATAAAACCTCATCACCATCAAGGCCATAAGTATATTCATCTCCTCCCTCCTTTGTTGTTATTGTTATTGGGGGGTGGTTGTGTATAAGAATACTGATGATCTACCCTGTTAACAATTTAAAGTTTATCATACAGTATTGTTAGCTGTAGGCAATGTGTGTAGAGTTCCAGAACTTACCTCACGTGACCAGCTTTGTACCCTTTAACCATCCTCTCATTTCCCCTCCTTCCAGCTCCTACCAACTGCCATTCTATTCTTTGCTCTTGAGTTTGACTATTTAAGATTCCACATAGAAGTGAGACTTTCTGTACAATTGAAAACACTTTTATTTTAGCTGTCTTCACACCACCATTATTTATAGCTTCCTTCTCCATGTAGCTCTGAGTCCAAGATCTAAAGCTTCAGATCAACTTGGACCTTAAACCAATAAAGTGTTATATTGATGATGAATTATAACTTCATTTAAATACATTTGGAACTTTTGAAAATAACCTTGAACTGGGGATTCAGAAGCAAAAGTTCAAGTTCCAGCTAATTGTGTTACTAGAGTTTGTCATATAACATCTCTGGAGTCATGTCCTAGTTCATTGCCAATGCTAGACTAGGACCATCTCTTTCCCTTCCAGGTCAGTATCAATAGTCAGAGTAAAATGGAATTGTTTTTTTATAGGCAACTATATTGTAATATTGGCAACAATATGAGCTACTGTAGCAAGGGGCAGTGCCCTCTAGTATTATTCTGCCAGTCTTGCTCTCAATCCCTGAACAGCAATCCATGATAATTATGTACATAATGCTACTTGTTCAATCTCAAGAGCAATAGTTTTCTTGCCATCTTTGTTTTGATAATTCCTTCGCTGACTCTTAATGTGTTACAGATGCACTTGACTTCTAATGAGATTTCTTCAGTTTTATTGGCAAGGTCATTTAACCTTCCCAACAAGTAATGGAACATCTCAAAAGTAACAGTAATAGCTGCCTTGAAAATTTTTTTTTTAAAACCAGCTTTCTTCTATTTAGTTTCTCATGTTTCAAAAATTTTATGAGAGTGAATTGTTTCAAGGAAGGAAGGAAAACTGCTTATTCAGAGAGCAGTAAGGGATATAAATTATTTTAAATCTCTGATAATACTAAATGGTAATCTTAGGGAATTTGAGAATCATGTAACAACAGCCCTGCTTTATCTTTTGAGAATTGCTCTTAATTTTCTCTTGTCCCTGCTAGCTTCTTATTTCATTCTTTCTGGAAATAATGCTATTCTATCACTGATGATTTTTACTGGATTAGCCAGTTTTCGTTATCCAGAGTAATATAAATTACAATCACTGAGTAATGTCCTATATATAAGTACAATCCATTTTCATTGCTTTGAAATATCTAATGTGAAATACTTTCTGTGATAGATTATTTTTGCAGTTGATTATAACTTTAAAGATTGATACCCTTCCCTCTACAATTTCTTCCTCTTTATTGTGGTAGTTCTTAAAAAAAAGTCTGTGATTCTGTGCAGTCTAGTTCAGTAGCCACTAGCCATATAGAGTCGTGTTTAAATTTATTTAAAGTTAATTAGGTTCTATTATTTCTGTTCCTCTGTCATAGTGTCCTGTACAGCCACACGTGAGTGGCGAACTGTATTGTGTAGCACAGATAAGGAATATTTCCCATCATCACAGAAAATTTGGTTTCTAGGGGAAAAAATCAGAATTATGATCAAATTTCTTTTATTGTATGGAAGAATGCAGTGCAGAGATCTCTATCAGTAACTTTTTGTAGTTTTTCTCCTTTTACCAGTTTGGAACATATTTTGGTTGAAATTGGTCAGTTCCTCTCATGGGAATTTTTCTTTTTAATCCTTAGCTCTACTTTCATATTTATAATGAAAAGGCAGCTTCCCAAGATAGGAAGAGATTATTTAAAAAGAATGTTACTTGTTTTGAGGTTTTCATACCCTCAAAGTGTATTTCACATCCATCAGTTAAAAGAAGTTTTGTTACCTCATGGTTTTAGAACCTTAGGGAATATTCTTAAGGAAATATGGTATAATATATGTAATAATATTGGCATAAGGAGTGAGCTAATTTTTATTTAATCATGTCACAGATTGAGGAAGTAAATCCTTTATTTCACATAATTTATAGTCTCATGCATGAGTTGTTGATTTAGGAGCTTTGACAGATGGGACAAAGGGAAAAAGTCAAACTGAGCAATGGGTGCTTTGGCGGGATTTAAGAGGATTGGTTGGGGGATAAGAAAATCCTGCATCCAGGGACCACAGGGGTGAACCTCAGAGGCTATAGGGGACTGAGGGGATGGGTGTATTTTGGTGTTTGGGGAGGATTTTATTAAGATTGGTGAGAATAATTTAGCAGTGACCCTGCTTTCCTCACAATCTGCTCAGCTCGAGGCTTCTGTGCAGGGATGGGAGCGAGGTCACCATTGAGCTTGGTAAGGCAAATGGCAGCAATTGCTTTTGCCCCCTTGACCTGTGGTGATTTCCTAATTCTGTGATGAACCCCAGGCATTAAAGACACCCAGAGATAGATGTCATTTCTGGTTTTTGGGGGGGTTTGTCTTTTTGTTTTTTTAATCCTGTATGCTTCATTGAGTTTTTAACTCTTGAGTTTTAAAAAGTTAGGGTTCTGCTTGAAGTCTAAAACTGGGTTGTTGTGTGAAAATTTTAATTTAAATTTAAACGGTTTTGGTTCTGCAGTATGTTTAAAAGCTTTAAGAACTCTATGTATCTAGATGACAGAAATTTGAAAATTAATCAACCAAATGATATGGTGTTGGTTAGTAATATGCTGTAGTTTATGTTTAAAATATACAGTGCTGAAAATAAATGTTCATTTTTGTTGCAAGAAGAATAGTTTTACATTTTATAATTATGGTGAATGTAGGAAAAAGTATCCAGCTTAGAATACAGCGGAACAATGCAGGGCATGCAGTTATTTTAGTCATCTAATATGTCAGCATTCAAGAATCTGAACCGATTGTTTAAAAAAAATCTTGTACTTTGTTTCTTTTGTTGCTCATTTCCAACTTTGTCATCTGTCAGAATGCAAAAAAAAATTATCCTTCTATAACCATTGACAGGATAACACAAAAGCTGTCTCCAGGTCGATATTTTGCAGCAATATTTTTAACATACGAACAGTAGTTTTTATAATTTCACCTTGGTGCTCAACCATTTATTATCGTATCAGAAGCATGTCAGTAATTCCTTTCTAAATGTCTGCTTCTTTTAGCGCTGAGACCCACATCAAGGGCTTCGCACTGAACGATGCTGCCAACAGCCTCCTCATCATAACGCAAGTTAGGCGGGATTATTTGAAAGGTATGTCACAATGCTTGACCTTTACGTCACATTAATGCCTCTGCAGATTTTTCTTGTAACGCCCTTCGAATACTTGGATAAAGGAGTCCATTTAGCAAATTACCTGCTTATCAAGAGCCTTTTGTGGTAGCTGAGAGACGTAAATTACTGTACATGCATTTATAATACAGCTTGAATATGAATGTACTTGTCATTTGACCACTTAGTCCAGTTTCCATTCCATTTAACACAAGATGGGTTTTCTTAAGATGAATCACAGCTCTTCAGACATGCAAAATTTGTGTTCCAGAACGAGAGAAAGTACAGGCTTTCAAGTGCGTTAAAATTCACAGCACAAGTCATTTTGCTTTGGAAATTAACATACTTTCGGGTGTCTGAAACAATTCCCAGCAGTTGTTTCTTGCGTATTGTGTTGGTTGTGTGTGAGATAGCAAATGAGTTAAATTGAGTGTTAAATTTGTGGGATTGTGCACTAAATGATTATAATATTGATTTTTAAAACTTAATCTAACACTTTTTTAATAGTTCATAATATCAACAGCAATAAAATATGGTATTTGTTTGAAGTTTAGAATTTATAAATGAATATTAAAAGGGTAACACGAGAGACTTGGAGATGATTTTGGGGAGGGTTGGCTTGGGGGCTGGTGGTTTGGTAGATGGTTTGCATTGAGCTGGATTTGGATGTGGAGGGCTTATGAATGAGCTTCCAAGTGGGACAGTGATGACTCTCTTAAATTTAGGTAAGTAGCTTTTCACATTAAGTTTCACATTTGAATTTTAGTCAATACAGTAATATTACAATTTTACTAATAGAACAAAACTCACATAGGAGATCTTTTAAGATTGGGGTAAAAAGTTCTTATTAAATGTTACAGGTTTCTTCCCTAGTCTGTAATAGCAATGTTCTTCCTGGCTTGCATGTTTATAAAATATTTTGCATCTGTGAAAGTTGGCATTGCTTATAATACACAAACATGCTGGTCTTTAGCCATTTCCCTAGTTGATTAGCACTGAATATGTAAGTGGTGATTTCTCCCTTTGCAAAATTTCCACCCTAGCATTCCACAGGCAGGGCCCCCATCAACATAGTCTTTTTGGACAGCCTTAAATTGTAATTGAGTAGAGTAGGGCTTATTGTTAAAATTTTGAATTATCAAATTAAATACATTGAAAAATGAAAATTGTTCCCCATATAAATAAGCTCATTGTTGTAAATAGCTACTTTTCTATAGGAATGAAGGATAAAACTTTTTTTGTGTGTTTGTATTACAGTACTAAGGATTAAACACAGGGCCTCACACGTAATATTGTAGGCAAGTGCTCTATAACTGAGCTGCATCCCAAACCTTAAACAAACCACCTATTAATTTTAATTTCAGAGATTCATTTGGGGGTTGAATCTGACCCAAGTTTAACTTGACTGCTATCCTTTTTTTGTTGTTGTTGTTGTTGTTGTTTTAAATATTTATATTTTAGTTGTAGTTGGAAACAATACCTTTATTTCACTTATTTATTCTTATGTGGTGCTGAGGATCGAACCCAGGGTCTCGCACATGCAAGGCAAGCGCTCTACCACTGAGCCACAACCACAGCCCCTAACTTGACTGCTATCCTTTCTTAATATGTTGGGTGCCCCATGAAAACTATAGAAAGTGCATGATATAATTTCTCATCTATTCTTCCAAGCTGTTCAACTCAAATGGAGGATATTTGAGAAGAGAACATCCTCCACCCAATGCAACCCCCACCCCCAGCCCTGACTCCCAGCCTGACCATACACTAACCACTTGTTGGAGTAAAATGATCATTGGCAAGGATGGGGAATCATGTTGGCCTTGTTTCTCTCTCTACATTTTGCTCCATTATCAGTGAAAGCCCCCAAGTTTTAAAGACCTCTTCTGTTCTTCTGCCTTTCTCTCTTTCAGGTTTTTTTTTTAAATAAACCCAATCTAAGGCAGTAATAAAAAATAATAATAATAAAGACAAATCCTACTATAATTTTATAAGCTAATAATGCTTGTAGAATATTAAAAACTGATATCGTGGCATCTTTACAATTTATTGAGTATTACTAGTGAGTGAGTAAATGATGGAATTGAATAATAGTGAGAAAAGTCTTGGGGGTAGGAATGTGGGTGGATATCATTTTTGGTGTCTTTTTTAAGTCATTTGCTCTACAATTCTATGTGAGAATGAGATTTAGGTCATGAGGTCTCATGCTCTCTTTGAATAAATACAGAATGATCTATTCTGCTCACCTCTCTACTCATGTATCCATAGGTGCAGCATCTGGGGTGGTTAGACTCAAGTTGGTATCAAGTGATATTACTTTGACCTTGGGAAAGTGTTTCAATTTTCTGCTTCAGCAGCTCATATGTAAAGTTGGTACTTGCCTCATAAGGGTAGTTGTGAGTGTAGTTTCTTAGTATTGTGCCTAGTATGCAGTAAATGCTCAGCTATTATAATGAATGCTCAATAATTTTGAGTTACCATAGTCACTATCGTTAATCTTATTTTTGTTTTTATTTTGATCCACTGGTGTTAAGAACCTCTCTAACTTACAATATACTTAGGTACTAAGAATACTTGGGCTGGAAATTTCGCTCAGTGGTAAGAGTGCTTGCCTAGAATGCATGAGGTCCTGGGTTCAATCTCCAGTACTGAAGGAAAAAAAAGTGGGGCTGGGGATGTGGCTCAGTGGTAGAGCGCTTGCCTTGCACATGCAAGGTCCCGGGTTCAGTCCCTGGTTTGATCCTCAGCCACCACGTAAAAATAAGTAAATAAAATAAAGTGATTGTGTACAACTACAGGAAATAAATAAATATTGTTTTTTAAAAAAAAAAGAATACTTGAACTTGATTATCTGTAGACCACCAGTTAACAAGGTAACATTAAGCTTATTTTCTGTAATTTATATTTTTAATAATATAAAAACATTTTTGTTTCCTATATTGCATATGATTTTTAAATTACCTATTTTCCCTTTTCCCTATTTCAGAGTCACTGATTAAAATTATTTCTAAATTTGGTATAATAGTATATTCAGTAATAAATACTAAACTCATCATGTCTTTTACTGTATTTTTTTTAATAGACTGTTTAATTATTACCCTTTCCCATTCCTCTGTGAAAGATAAGCTGTTCTTATTCAGAGAGCTGCTTTGAAAGCTTGGTTTTGTTTAGGTTACATTGCTGTAATTGCTATAAAGCCATGAAGTTTTCAATACCTGAACTTCACAACACTTGCACATAAGTCAGTAAATTAGAAGGATTTTTCATATTTTTTCATCATCAAGTACTTGTAATTGTGATTCTCTGCATTTAAAAAAAAAAACCCCATTGGTTGTAAGCCATAAGACTTGAATGAGCTTTGTTTTATTTGAAAACTGAATGTAAGAAAATATCCACAGGTGTCTAATCATATAAAAGAAATCTGTTAATGTGAAAGTTTGACTGTTCCTATGAGGTTGATCTTGTTTGAAACAGAAAAACTCATTTTCAAGGAAGCATCTTTGGGATATTAAATGTTTTTGATAATAATGTAATCTTTTGAGTTAACAAAATCCGAAAATATATGAATTTAGGTAGAAGTTACATATTTTTGGAAACTCTTTAATTTTTAAAATTTTTCCTTATTTGTACTTTTCTAAACTTGTCAATTTCCTTGGAATGAGATGCAAAATTTTATCCCTGAATGGATAAAATTCACATTGTCAATAACAATTGTGTTCTGTGACATAAAGAAGAAATTTCTCTGGTCTCTAATACTTTACGGATAGTCAAATTAGTTTTTTTTTTTTTATTTAGGATTTCTCATGAAGTATTAATACTTTCTGTAATCTAGAATAAATTATTCATAGCTTTTTGTATATAGCCATTTGTGCTCATATTTTCAAAGTACATTTAAGTCAATATGGATCATATAAGAAAATTGCATCCTCTGCCCTTATATTTTAGCTGCTCTAACAACTCTGAAAACAGCCTTGGATTTGAAGCAGATTCCCTCTAGATTGTCAGTGACCCGCCTTATCCAGGCATTTGCCTTGAAGGGTGACATACAAAGCATAGAAGCAATTCAGAAGATGGTAAATGGACTTGACTCAATTGGACTCTCCAACATGGTTTTCATCAATAACATTGCTCTGGCACAAATAAAGAAGTAAGTACTTTCAAACTTTCTTGAATTATCTCTACTGCCTTTAAGAACTTTTTTAGACCTTTGGAAACCACGTTGGAAATTTCAGTGGTGATTATTGTTGCTTATTATTTCCTATTATAAATAATCATGTTGAAAAAAGTATTTTATCTTTAAATTAAAACTAAGAATAAACATCAGTTATCAGATTCATAAAATTTACTCTACAGCTGCTAACTTTTCTAATTTTAAATAGATGTGCATGCCAGGCCTCTTATTGTCAAAACACTTCTTTACACAAGTGAAAATGACTTTATTCATTTGTCAACAATGCTTGAGAGTGATACTCTGCTAGCATATTGTGAAATAAGACCCAGCAAGCTTGTTAGAAATATATATTTCTAGAGCTGGAGGTGCACCTCAGGGGTGGACTAGGCGCTTAGTGTGCACAGGCCTTGTGTTCCATCTCCAACACTAAAAAGAGGAAAAAAAACTCATTTCCATACTCTTCACCCATCCACCCCTTCAAGACACACACCCACAAGAAGAGGAAGTACTTAGATATGATTCTCTTACCACCATCTCGAGAGTCCTTGATGAGAATTACCACTATAGAATTATGTAAGGACTTTTTTTTAAATTGACCTAACTAGCAAAGTACTTTGTTCAAATTAAAGATTCATAGGGATAATTATGGAATTGACATTCTTACTGCCTTTTGGGGGAAATGTTCTTTAGTAGTTAACCTTATGTACATTTCATAACATGTGATGTTAAAATATATGTTTTTGCTGGAGTTTTTCCTTCCCCATTTCTTTGAGCAAAAACAGTTGTATTTTATTAAGTTAGAAGATCAAGGAAATTATTCAAGGAACAGTTGGATGAATTTTTTAAAGTTACCATATAAACAGTTTTATAAAATACAGAGATTATATTTTTAGACACTATTAACTGGAACCTATGAGACAAATATATTGTAACAGGATATTTGTTTTTAGTCAGTAAGGTGTTTTTTGTTTGTGGTGCTGGGTCCTTGTGCATGCAAGGCAAGCACCCTACCAACTGAGCTATACCCCAACCCAAGTTATATATATATATATTTTTTTTTATTTTTGTAATTGTAGGTGAACAGAATGTCTTTATTTGTTTATTTTTATATGGTGCTTAGGATCAAACCCAGTGCCTCACACATGCAAGGTAAATGCTCTGCCACTGAGCTACAACCTCAGCCCCCAAGTTCTATTTTTTAAAGTATTAATTTCAACATAAGATTGATTATTTGAAGTGCCTTATCATAACATTATCAAATGTAGACCACCTTAACCACAAAAATAGCGTATATTTTCTCATAATTTGCTTAATAAGACCATATAGTTAATTTTTTTTCTAAGAATTTTAGTATTTTCCAAATGTATAGTGCCCAAGAATAGGAAATTTATAGATATGAAAATATACCTTTTGAAGACATGGTCAGCATCTTTAAAAATCTTGAGATGCCATATATTGTCTTTACCTCATATAGTAGTGACCAGTTGTGGGTCATAAAGTGAAAACTAGAGCAGTTAAACTTAAATTTTCATTTTACAGCCAAAGAGCTATAAAATCAAATATTTAAGAAAGTTATCCTAATTAATTCTTCTATAGTTGTTTGATCTTGTCTCTAGAGCAGAATTTTAAAATAAGCAACTATTTTTTAACTACTGTGAAGTAAAATATGTAACTACTACAGCATGAACCTCTCAGTGATTGCCTTTGGTATCAAATCATGATTGGATTTAACTTGCATGTGGTTTATTAAATCTGTTTAATTGTAAATGTATTTCCTTTTGTTTCCTAAAGTGTTTGCATGAGCTGATCTAAAAGTAAGTTCTTGTGCTGATACTGACTGCAATATTAATACAAAAGCAAATGTTTCTTTTCAATTTGTTTTGCTTCCTTTTACAGCAATAACATCGATGTTGCCATAGAAAACATTGAAAATATGCTTACTTCAGGGAATCAAACCATAGAACCTCAGTACTTTGGCTTGGCATATTTATTCAGAAAGGTAATAGAGGAGCAGATAGAACCAGCAGTTGAAAAGTGTAAGTTGTTTGTTTTTGTGAACGAATACAGAAGCACTTTTTCTCCAGTAAAACTGGACCAAATATCTTTGGATGAGTCATACCCCTGTTTTAACAAGATTTTTCTTACCTGTTTTCCAGTAAGCATCATGGCAGAGAGATTGGCCAATCAGTTTGCAGTTTATAAACCTGTCACCGATCTTTTCCTTCAGCTCATGGGTTCGGGCAAGGTGGATGATGCCAGAGCTCTCCTACAGGTAATGACTCATGGAGCCGGTGAGGCTTGCAGCTTGTGAGAAGTGAAATGAAGTCACTAGATGTGTGTATGAAGGAATACTGGAAACAAACTGTGGTGCTGCTAGAACATTTGAATTCATTGTGAATCAAGGTTGCATGACAAGGAGGTGGATCGTAGGTTGTAGGTTGCTGATTTGAAAACTAGGAATATCTGTATAATTAAAAGAAGGTTTGGGATGGGAAAGATGAGTTTTGCTGAAATTATTTAAAGACAAATGTTTCTGTGCAGATAGGTGATGCAAAACGTCCATTCCTTTGATCTCTCATTTTAATTTCTCTAATGCTCTAAATACTGTGCATCACCATGGCAACACAGTTTGCAAACAAAAAGTAGGAAATGTTTGCTTTTCAAGTACAGCTTCTCACTTGAATACTCAAACATTCTTAGTGCCTTATTCAAGGTTTATTAAGAGTTGAATTTGCTTTCTATTCACTTGTGTGTCACAGACACATTAAATGACAAATGCAGGTCTCTGTGGCCCACACTCTAAGTTAAATTAGCAATCTTCAGGGAAGGAGACAACTGCATTCATGCCACTTTAACTGCACTAAATATAAAGCTGCGCCAAGTGCGACAGAACTGTGGGTGATCAGAGCTGCCACTGGCAGTGTACACAAACAGGCACCGCTGGGGAGCCCTTCCCAGCAGGTGGCAGTCAAACAGCCACCGTGATCCCGCCAGCGGCTGTGTTTGTGTAGACTCCCTGTGTCAGATTGAGGCCTGGAACCAATTTCTGATAGTAAATAGTATTATATTCACTTACATTGTTACCAGCTGCAAGATATCTTAAGTCGGAGATAGAGAAGGTAAAAACTGTACCCATTTGCTTGAAGCTCCAGTTTTGATCTTTAAAGTTCATCTAGCCTGACAGTACAGCCAAGCCATTTTGAAAAGAAATGCCTGCAAAAATTTTTCTCCAGTTTAACAGTTGAATAAAAAAATGAAATTGGTGCTGCTTCTAGGGCTTTTGCTTTTGTTTCTGAACAGAGAGAAATTCTGATTAGCTTGGTTTGGCTCTTTTACTCTCCCCCCCACCCCTCGCCCCCCCACCCCTTTTTGGAAAGGCAATTTATGATAGGTAGGGATTTTATAAAGAATCTTCTCATTATTTTAGTGTGCTGCAATTAGTGTTTAAAGGTCTATCTTGAAAGGAATATACGCTATGCTTTGTCTTCATGTTTATGTATCTAAACACCTACTTCATAAATATCTAATCAAAGTGATGGTATTCCTTCAACTTAACACATTCTTGTGATTGTGTTAGAAAATGGTACTTGGTACTTCCTCTGCCATCTTATTCTGAGCTATAACCTTCATGTCCCTTTACAGAGGCCACAGTCAACAGGGCTGGAGACAGCCAGGCTGTGGCCTGCTGCCCTCAGAGTTCCCTTTACCCTCGGCAGCCTCACCTGGCAGGGGCTCCTGAAATGGCTGAGTGTTAATGTGGCAGCAGCGTCTTCATTGGCATTCCCTCAATAGACTGAGGTTCCAGATGATAAGCCCTTACTCTTCCTTTACCTGCTTGTCAAACAGTAAAAGAGTATTCTTGCTTTAGCGAAGAACACTTTATTCACAGATGTCGAAAACATTGGTGTATAATGTAAATGTTCCATGTGTCCCCAAAAGTTCTTTTTATACTATTCATTTTAATATTGACAGTGTTTTAAAGCTTTGGAAGAGCAATGTGCTTTGAGAAACTTAAAAGAATGACATCTATGATGAGTGTAAACTAAAATATTGTCTTGCCATATTTGATTTGACTATAGCATCTAAGATTGGATAGACACTTGATTTATCTGGTCTGTCATATAAACTTTTTTTTTTTTTGAGTTTAACTTTTGTCTCTTTCTCAAGCACTGGCTGTCTATTGCAATGAAAGCCTTTTATAAAATAGAGAGATTGAAATCAGTCCTTTTGTATGCGTAAGTGTAGGTAATTATACTTTAAAGAGAACTTGCTTTGTACATTTTAATTTTTATAAAGAAACGAGCAGTTATCTCCCTGACACCTTATTAAATGTATAATTAACCTTATGATCCCTAGCTCACTTGTGAATGCTTGGCAGTATAATTGGAGAGGAATAGTGTTTCTTTTTTTCCTCTTTCTTTGCAGTCCTAAACCTTGTTCTGTGGTTGTTGAAGCATTAGTTTGATTTTTCCCTTTTCTTTTTAAACAAACTTTATACTTCCAGTGCCAAGGACAGCTTTCGCCAAAGCTTGGCATAACTTGCACTTGTTTTCTTTTTTCTCACCTTAAAAAAAAAATGGTCGACTATGAGGCCTTCCTCGTGGTAATGATATACTACTGTATTATTGTGAACTTTCTTAATTGGAAATATTCACCTTGATCTGCTTGTTTATCAAAAACCTGCACTTACTGAATAATGTTTTAATTTTCAGAGATGTGGAGCAATTGCTGAACAAACCTCAATTTTGTCACTATTCTGTATCAGGAGTTCTCAGAAACCAGGAACGGTACTGTGATTTACTTGTTAACAAATCAGTGATGCTGTAAGACAGTCTTCCTCATGGTTTAACATAAAAGCTTGTTGGTTCAGGATCTTACCTAAAAATATCTTCGAGACTGAAGACTTTCCCTGCTTGTATTTACTAATTCTTTAGGATGCCGATACAGAGTTGGTCCTGACTCCTTAGTTGTGCTGGAAATGAAAAACAAGTTCATGCAGTGAATTCTTTGTTCTTGTAGTTGTGCATGGAGAGCTCAAGAAAGGACTGTTAGGAATGGAAGATAAAAATTGTATTGCTTAGGTCTCCTTGGTACATTTAATAATGCAGAAGCACTGCCAAGTGAGGCTGACGTCAGCAGTGCCTGTATCAGGTGGCTCTCCTGACCATTTATCAGGTATAAACTACCAGGTCCATGCGCCATTGGCTTTAAAATTCATGTGGTTTCCCAAATTAATGTTCCCTTTGGTAGTTACCTTATTTACACTGTGAAAGGTGTGTGTGTGTGTTACAGAATCAAAATACTTTTTTGTGGGGGCAGGGAGGGTACCAGGGATTGAACCCAGGGGTGCTTAACACAAACCTCAGCCTCTGAGCCCCTGGGATTAGAGGTGATCACCACCACACCTGGCTCAAAATTTATTTATTTATTTATTTGTTTATGTATGTATGTAGTTGGCCACAATGCCTTTATTTATTTTTATGCGGTGCTGAGGATTGAACCCGGGGCCTCACACATGCTAGGCAAACGCTCTACTACTGAGCCACAACTTCAGCCCTCAAAATTTATTTAAAAAAAAAAAAATGGACACAATACCTTTATTTTAATTTATTTTTATGTGATGCTGAGGGTTGAACCTAGTGCCTCACATGTGCTAGGCAAATGCTCTACTACTGAGCCACAACCCCAGCCCCTCAAATATATTTTTAATGTTAAAGGGAAAATAAAATAAAATAAAAGTCTAGTTTTAAAAATTTGCATCTAAAAATGTATTGAGTACCACGAGCCCCATTCTTAGTTTTTTTTGGTATTTGTTGGCATTTCAAAGCTAGACGGGGAGATCTAGTTTTCCTTCTTTTTTTTTTTTTTTTTTATTTATTTATTATTTATTTATTTATTTTTAAAGAGAGAGAGGGGGAGAGAGAGAGAATTTTCAACATTTATTTTTTAGTTCTCGGCGGACACAACATCCTTTTTGGTATGTGGTGCTGAGGATCGAACCCGGGTCGCACGCATGCCAGGCGAGCGCGCTACCGCCCGAGCCACATCCCCAGCCCTTATTATTTATTTATTTATATATTTTGTAGATGGACATCATGCCTTTATTTTATTTGTTTCATTCTTATGTGGTGCTGAGGATCGAACCCAGTACCTCTCACATGCTAGGCAAGTGCTCTGCCCCTGAGCTACAGCCTCAGCCCCCTAGTTTTCCTTCTTTTCTACACACTTTCCCCAAGTACACACACTTTTTAAAAACTTCATTTAATTTCACTTTTTAACTCTGGCTCATGTATTTATATACCATAAACAAATTATAGAAAATATTTAGTTATGCCCCTCTTTTCCTTTTAAAGAAATTCCTTTCAAACTTTTAAAATTTGCTATTAAAAAAGTATAAAAATCTGGGCTGAGAGTGTGTCTCAGTAGTAGAGCACATACTTGGCGCACACAAGGCCCTGGGTTTAATCCCCAGCACCACAAAACAGCAATAAGAAAAAGTGTTAAGAATCTAAAAAGCACTTGTTAGTCCACATGTGGGACTGGGCCAAATTAAGAAGCCCAGAAGAAAAGCAGGTCTAGGTGTGGATTGACTAAAAAAACATGCCAAAAGGAATACTGTATCAGAAAATCTAAATGCCAACCAGTTACACTGTCCGTCTGTTTGAAGTAGAATGGTTAAACCAATTTAACCTCTGGTAAGGTGGAAACAGGGCATAAACTTATGTAAAGTCAGCAGCATTGGAGTGCATCTAGAAGTGCTAGTAGTTGGCTTTTCTTTGGGGTGGGGTAGGTCTGGATTTTCTACAGGAAATAAATAATATCTAGTTGAGACTACATCCTCCTCCATTGGATCAAATAAAAATTCCAGTGAGACCCCAGTAGTGTTCTCTTCATGTAGCAGTGGAGAAAACTTCAGAAGAGCTGACTAAATTCTTCACATTTCATAAAAAATACAGCTGTTATCTCTTCCACACTTGAGATCTTATAACTTTTTGATATAGTTAATAAACAATCTTCAGATGTTAAAAATATTACATTGAGATAGATAATATTATATTTAGATATTTTAGAAAATATAAAAGTGTAAATGGAATTCCATTAACTTTTGAAAAATGATGGTTTGTTTTGGCTGTAAATTATCAAATCAACATCAAATGTTGAGATAGAAGGGGAAATAGTCCATTAAATTGAGTCAGAAGTTTTGTTGTAATTATTATATAGATTTTCTGATACAGTATTGATATATCAGTGGTCCTACTGATTACACTGTTCTTTTGAATTTGTGATCATGTTACCTGTATTTAATTTCATAGGCACCAGTTCTGACGTCTTTATTAGAATTGATTCCTGAATTATGTGAAAAGGAGGAAGCATACTCTTCTACCATGAAAAGCTATGGTAATAAAATCTAATCATATAATTTTAATATTTGTAGCATAGTAAATAAGTCTTCAGCTCAAAGGCAGTACTCCTAGAAATCAGGTAATTACTGATGATATAAGTCATTTGCTAGCTCTGGAATTTTTTTTAATATATATATTTTTTTAGTTGTAGATGGACACTATACCTTCATTTTTATTTATTTTTATGTGGTGCTGAGGATTGAATCCAGCGCCTCGCACATGATAGGCATGTGCTCTACCACTGAGCCACAACCCAGCCCCTATGTTTTTAAACTGTAAGAATATGAAACTATTCATATAACTTTAACAGAGTATCAGCATGTTCAGAGCAGCCCACATATATTGAGTTAGATCCCAGGTTCCTGGAGAGACCTGGAAATTCACTTGTACTTACATATTAGAAACAGGTCAGTCTCCCCTGATCCCTACACCTGGAAAGGGAACATGAGGAGGTCTAAATTTGAGACAGTCTCTTGCATTGTCTTCTTGCTCCTTCAGTACCCCTCCACCTGCCTACCTGTTCTTTTGAAGTAACAGACCCCTTAGCTAAACAGCAGCCCGAGGTTTACCTGAAGTCCTGGTTGAAATTTCAGTCTTTTAACCAGATTGTTCCCTTGTTGCCAGATAATCATGTGAACAGGAACCAGTCTAAGGTTCCCTCGCTAATGAAGATAAATGTTAGCCATTTCTAAATCATGATTACCTTTCCATCTGCCACCTACTGGTTTGTTCATTGGAGACTTGGAATAAAGAAAGAATTGCTTTGTTGACTTTCTTTTTGTCAGGGCAACCGAACCAACAAGCTGAATTAGTAAACTGGGTTCTCTTGTTTTTCCATCCTTATGAGGGAACATGCTATGTTTCAAAATAGAGCTATAATCACAAACCTTGAATTTCCAGAAATTAACATGAAATAGTGTCAGATGTATGAAACACTTTTATTTGTTACTACTAAATTAATCTATATATTTTTTAGTTGTAGATGGACACATCTAAACAGGCAAAGGAAAGGAAAACACTAGTTTTCTTTAAGCAGCTTCCTAGAGAGGAGCTGGAGCTCTGTCAGCAGTAGGGAAGGGACATGGGCCTTTGGAGAGGAAACGGGATTTACACAGGAGGGATTTACATGGAGGAAATTGACTTCATCCAAACTTAGAGGATCTGGTCCAATTGAGTGCTGGGGAGCCGTTTATCCTCATTCTCTTTTGGGAGAGCCATGGATTGATCAAAACACTTTTCACATCCTATTTATAATTGAGAACTTACAATCTGTGGCCATTTTAATTATCTCGGGTCTTCAGAATAGTGAATAACCAAAGCACCTAATACCATTAATGTTATTCTAAAGGCCTTTAAATAGGGCCACGTTTGTCCTTTTCCTTCTTCACAGTGAGCATTGCTGGCAGAGTAGGGGAAGAGCAGTGAGGAAGCTCGGAGTTGGTGGGAATAGCAGGTGGCAACCTGCTGAAGGTGTTCATTTGATAGAGGGATCCCAGAATCCCCAGTGGCAGAGTGTTCTGGTGCAAAAGGAACACTTTTTACCTATGACTAATAACTTTTTTTTTTTCCTTTAACTTGGTTAGTCTTGGACAAAGATGTTGCATCAGCTAAAGCACTCTATGAACGTTTGACTGCAAAGAACATAAAGTTGAATGATCTGTTTCTAAAACGTTATGCGGTTTTGCTGAAGCATGCTGGAGAACCTGTCCCTTTCACTGAGCCTCCTGTGAGTATTTCTTAATTAAGGGGAGAAAATACCTCTACAGATTTATGTATGCCTCATAAGAATGTGTTAAAAAAAAAAAAAGTTGAATACTTAATTACATGAGGATTAGCTCTCTGTGAAGAACCCCTGAGGGAGGACTCCAGGGAATGAGCAATGGCTTTGGCTGGGGTGGGGGTCGGTGCAAAGCCCTCTGGCTCTGAGGTTTAGGTAGAGATCTGCCCAGACCTTCCCTGTGGCCTGGGCTTATCATCTGTTCCTGGGCAGTTCTCTCATCATTTGTATTTAAAGTAGAATTTAATGGCTAGTATTTCATTAGCCAGGCCTGTTATTGCCACTGTTATAAGTTTCTTTTAAGTTTTTATTTTTTTATTTAGTAAATTTGGTTTTCTCTGTTTCTACATATACAGAATTCCATTTTGTGAGATCATTGAACTGAAAGTCACCTCACTATATTTATTTTAAACACTTTAACCCTCCCTGCCCAGGTATAAATAAATACCTGCAGACATAGGCCTGTGCATGCAGAGGCTCCTGGTACTGACTTTAACTCTGAACTTATCATTTAATAAAAAAGGAAGATGCACCAAAGCTTCAGAGACCAGTTGGCCATAGGCCTGATGGCCATGGGCTGGGCAGTCTTGGCCACCACAAAGGCAGTGCTTGTGACTCTCAAGTTCAGTACCATCAGTTCTTGCTGTTGACTTTGTCAGTAATTCTTCTCCCTTTTTTTCTCCGAAACAGGAAAGCTTTGAATTTTATATAAAGCAGCTAAAGGAATCAAAGGAAACCCCTTCATGAAATGAACAGTCACTGCATTGTTTTGTGTGTATTTGTGATCCTGTGTCTAAATGTTATTTTTAAGATGTACTTGACAGGAAAAAATAAATAAATGAAAAATTACTTTGTTTATGTATCTTTTATTGTAATGTATGATCCAGCACCTTATTGACAATAACTGAGTACACTTTGTTGCTAGTCCTTTTTAATTTTCGGTGTACAATATAAATCTATTTTCTTTTAAGGCTTCTTGGGTATGAAGTCATAATTTTTCAGGGATCTTTTCTCATTTGACTCCAGTTACTCCGCTCTATTAAATTTATTATTTTCATAAAAATATTATTCTTTTATTGAAGTCTTGTTTATTAGTATTTATCTGAAAGATTTGAATAAAATGATGCTCAGTGAGCCTCTTATTGCTTAAAATTCTAGTATATAACAATAGCTTATTTATATGTTAAGTCGAGTCATCAAATCTTGAATTTGCCATTGCTCAGTGAGAAGCAGAGACCCTCGATTGTTCTTGGTCAGGATTCTGTCTGCCAGTGCCTGGTGGCTACTTGTCATACTTTCTTGCCATCTCCCACAGTGATTTCTGTGAGCTTCTATTCATAGAAGCCCCTAATATTGGGTCTTGCACATGATTTTTCATGAAGTAGAGCTATGCATTTGTTTTTGTTTTGGTTTCAGGACTTTGTCAGTACAAGCTGAACCCTTCACCAGGCTCATTATTAGCTCATATGCTGTAAATATTGTGAAAAAGTAAAATCTTGGTCTAATCAAATGTATCCCCATGTCAGGTCTCTTCCTTGTGAGGACATGAAAACTACATTTTGAGTAGTTACTTAAAAACAAACAAACAAACACTTAAGATAGGCAGTCAAGAAAGTTTAGCAGTACTAACATAAGTGAGACCTAAGTAGAAGTCTTGGTCAGTGCTAGGTCCCAGCCTGGGGCTTCCTCTGCACATAGAATTGTTTGATTTGGCCAGAGCCTCACTCTGAGCACTTGTCCCTAGGATGACTCCACTAAAACAGGCGTTACTTTTTGCAGTCATGCTACCCCCAAAGTATTTGAGCTAAGTGTTACTGATATGCATTAAACTATGTCTCCAAGTAAGACATAACCTTGGGACTTCAGAGTTGTCTTTGGGAATGTGAACTATAATCTCATTTATATGAAGTGAGTAAAATTCAGATATGATGTAAGTGTAGTAATTATATGTCCTCCTGGTCTTATGAGTGCTTTCTAAATATCTCATAGCCACATTGAAATAAATAGGCCAATTATAGCAGCACAATTTTCTCTCAAATTATAAGAATACAGCTAATTCTGAAAAGTAAATATGTCATTGTAAACTTTTAGGAAGTATAGTATTTTGTATATAATTATATGTTCAACTATTGGAAACTAATATAATTTAAATGTGAATTGCTTTGAATAAAGGGTACTCCAACTATCTGTGAACTGCTTTATTTTTATGTTATCAATAGCTGCATAACTGTTTAACCATTTCAGAGGACTTCAGCCTTAAAATTTGAAATTAAAAGTTGTATGGTGACTTGTTATGGCCAGAATTTCCTAGATGAGTGGCTTGTAGTTGCTCTGTGCAGAATCAGCAAAGTCACTGCCTGTCTCTTTTAAGGGCTTGCAGACATTTGAGATCTCTGAGAAACAAAAATGGCAAGACTTAGGAGATAGTCTTGTGCGAAGTGTAGAGCATCTCACATTTTCATAGATGGTGGAGATCCACTCCACACCGAGGGTCTTCAGCACCTTCAGCCTTTTCAGGAATGCCCACTGGGGTCTCTAGCAAGATCATCTCTGCTGCCTTCTCCAGCCCCTTGTCCTTAGCTAGCATTTTAACTGTTCCCTCTCTGGGGCTCTGATGGCCATTTGAGCAGAACATGTATCACACAGGTCCCCTTCTAGATTGTGAACTCTCTGAGAACTGGTTCTTCATCCCATGCTCTGTGTATGCTCAGACTTTGCACAGACTGACTTGTGGCCTCTATGTGGATGACACTGAGCACCTAGCCCCTCTTGCCTGATTTTCATGGTGAGAAAATGGGCTTAAAGAAGTGCATTTGCAGACTCTCAGCAGTGAATTTCATGGCTAGGTACGTTTTACATTTACTAGCCAGGCATGGTGACACAAGCCTATGGTCCCTGCTACTCGAGAGGCAGAGGTGGAAAGATCACGTGAGCCCACAAGTTTGAGACCAGCCTGGGCAACAGTGAGACCCAGTGTGAAAATTAAAAAATTATTTACTTTCTATGAGAAACTGAAGGCTTGCCATTTAAATTCAGTTAAAAATCCAGTTAACAGTCAAATTAGAATCTAAAGTGTAAGAATATTCCATAAAAAAACAAAACGTCTATTGCATAAATACAAGTATGCCCAGTTTCTGGATATCTTGCACTGTAAGGATGTTTTCTTCCATTTAACCCAATACTCAGTGCCTGGCATAATTGTCAACTTTACGATTCCAGTCAATTATTATGCTTTTTTATATTGCAAATTATTCTTTCTGGTTCCATTTATTTCTTGTCTGAATGAGTGTACTCTGCACACTTTTTCTCATGTCTTTGAGCACAGTTTTAATATTTGTCTTTCTGAAAAAACCAATATTTGCAGAATTTCTGTGAGGGAAAGCCACATTCCTCAAGTCTGGTGGACCTAATAGCAGCAGGGGGTACAAAATCACGGTAATTTATTGCTTTGCTGTTGTACAATCACGCACAGGAGTGTTTCCATTAGAAATGTATCCTGCTTTCAGTCCCAAAGACTTTACAAAGCCCACATTATGCAGCCTTAGTACAAATAAAGGAAATGGCTGCATTAGCAAATCCAAAATAGGCACTTATCTTTTCCTTTTTTGCATAAAGAAAAGAAATATCAGATCCACATAAAGTGAAAGCGTTTAACCAACTCCAGACTTCCTACTACCCCCACACGTTTGTTTGGACAATGGCTGACTGCTGGGATGGATCCATCCTTAGTTCTCTGCAGGAGTTTCTTCCCTGACCTGGCCTCTGGGCATGCACTTGCTGAAATTCTCGTTCTATTTTTCTCTCCCAGAACATGAGCTCTGCAGACCTACCAGTTTCCACAGAGCCTGGCGCTGATGAATACATCAGTGTGCCCAAAGCCACGTGTTTCTCTTTGCCAAGTCACCTGCTTCTGGAGACGTGGTTTGTGTGTATTGTAGGGCTTCTTCCCTCATGCCTGTCTCCGCAAAGGACTCAGATCTTACCTTTTGTCGACTACTCGTTGACATTTTCAACAGGGCCAAATAATCATGATGTGAAACAAACCAAAATAAACCTTTTATAAGTTGATTAATCATCTTGGCCCCCCTCCTTTTGAGAGGAGGGGGCCTCTCAACTGTGTGACCAAAGTCAAAGCACCTCATTCTGAGCCCAAGCACAGTGCAAGGATTCTGTGCATTGGTGGAATTAACAGAAATAGAGCCTTCCTGTTAGCAAGGAGCAGTAAAGCTTTTTAGCAGCTTGGGAAAGCAAGAATACTTTTTTACAGAAAGACAAATATAAATGTGAGCACCGTTACCTAGCAAGCAGAGAAGTGTTATTGAGTTAGTGTTTAAAAATCTCAACCTGCTGCTAACATTATTGTTTTAATTATTAGCTGCTAACACCACACTGCTGCTGTTTCCAGCTCCCAGCAGAAAACGGGCTGTGCTCCATCTACCTGCCTGCCTCCTCTGTTCAAACTGCCTCAGGCAGGGACCAGGTGACACAGACACAGGCTACTGCTCCACACCCAGGCTTACCCCGCAGTGTAGGGATAGGCCTACACATTCTAAGCTGCCCTCAGCCTCTATCCAGGCCACTTTAATTGAAGAGCCAATCAAATATAAATGACTGGTGACTTAAGATTTGAATTATCTAGTTGAGCCTACTTGCAATATGAGGGCATTAAGCACTGGATGTACTTTCCAAATAAGCACAGGTCAGCGGGGAAAAGCTCCATCTCTTTCCCGGCACCTCCCTCAGTTCTTCAGAGTCCCTTGGATGCTCTGGGCCTCATGGCAAGTCTGCCCAGAGGAAAATGGCACCTGAGGCTGTGCCAAGTTCCTCTGCTAAGTGACCAATTTGAGTCTTGGTACACTTGGATTTGACATAGATTTCGACGACATTGCTGTGAGCTGTTAAATCTGAGATCAAAAAAGAGTTGAAAAATAGGAGAGGGGGAAAAAAAGAAAGCAAATGCAAGATTTATCACTGGCTTAACCCTGGGCAAGATTATGCCTTAAATAATCTTTACAGGAACAAGAGCAGTTCTTTAAAAATCACATCAAGAAATATTTGAGTCAATACAGGTAATTATTTTTGGTTTAATTAAAATTCCCCTGTCAATAGCATAACTTGAAATTGGAGAGCTTAAAATGCAAATTTCAAAACCTTTACCTTTTGATCAAGGGTCTGCAAACCACAGCCTCAGGCCAAATCCAGCAAGCTGCCGGCTTTATAAGTAGTATTTTATTGGAACACAGCCACACCAGCCATATTTACTATTGTCTGGGGCTGCTTTCTAACCGTAACAGCAGAATAATACAATCATGACACAGGCTATCTGACCCTCAAAGCCTAAAATATTTATCATCTGACTCTTGTCAGGGAAGCCTGGGACCCAGGCTTTTGAGAATAACAGATAAGTCAATACTACCCCTTGCAAAGCAGGAAGGGGTTCACTGAACCCTGGTTTTCCTTTTCCTGGGCCTCACATGCCCTTGTGAGTTTCAAAGGAAACAGACCCGAGGAATCAGAACAGGGTGGATGTAGTCAATGCTGGACTTTGTTAAAGCCTCAGCCTGGGCAGCCACGGTGGAAGAAACTCTAGAAGAAACCCAAAGAAATGGCACTGTTTTGGGCATTTCTCCTGCCTTTGCACCTTTGCTGTTATCCCCTGTATCCCAGCAGAGCAAAGCCCACCAAGTGGTTAAAGCCATTTGCAAGCTGAGTGGCAATTCAACATGGTATACCTCAGCAGCTGCCAACCCTCACTGCATGCTAGAATCACCAGGGAATTAAAAAGCTACTGACGTCCTCTTCCTCCTGAGGTGACCACAATGAGAGGCAGGGGAGCCTCGGTGGGCTAG